ATGGTACATGGTTTGTGTATGTGTGCGTGTGTGTGTGTGTGTACATGTTACTGTCCTATTTCCATCTACGGTAGAGGTTTCCTCATGTGTCTGGCTGAAGATGGCGAAGTGTATGACACTCACAAGTATGGATGGATGCAATGCCGCCAGGTTAGCACAAGAAGAAAGGATTGAGAGCAATGGCCACACATTCATTGGTTTGTGCCACTGGTGACACATCCCCTGTTTAGAACCGCTGGCCAACCACTCCTATTTAGGACCGCTTACCATACACCCGCTGTTTAGGACCAGAGTACATTTTAAATTTGTAATACAGAACATGATTGTACTCAGGGGGTGATTATATGTGCAGCTCCAGCCCGGGCTGGTCGACAGGCGGGCCAGCCTGCCTGCAACGGGATCTCGGGGTTGTACACAAATCCACACAAAACCTGTTGTGCGTTTATATGTCAAGCGGGCTGGCCCGGCGAGGCAGGATCCCGCCCCGAGGCACCCGGGATCCCGGCTAGGCGGGCCAGAAAAAGCACATATAAACAGACCAGCCCGGGCCAGAGTTGTATTATTATGGTGTCGACACTGCGTTCATACTACAAAATAGGTACTTTTACCTTTTGAGGGAAGTTATAAAGAGGATTCCCACTATTGTCTTGAAAATCTATGAAGCTTTTTGTACAGCAACAAGAAAGACGTGTCATGAGCACTGTTTATTTGTCGACATGCATGATTGTATTTTACAATGGAAGGGATACTACTTGCAAAATGCTTTGATATGGACAACTAAAAATGTGAAAAACAGGAAAAAGAAACGAGGTGATACAACACACCAAGCATGTGCCATAGCGCGAAAAGAAAGCAGCAGAAGATTACATTGTGTGAGAAAAAAAGTTTTTAGGTTTATAACCTGAGTATGGCTTGCAGCCCTGCGTTTCAGCCCGGGGCAGCACACTACAGTCGTAGTGTGTTCGTTGCATACTCACAACGGGCTGGCGTGTGCTCAGCGCATATAAACTCACTGCGAGCTGGCGACCAGCCCGGCCGTGCACATGTAAACCCTCTCGGCGGGCTGGCCCGCTCGCTCCAGCCCGCCGAGAGTTGCACATATAATAGGCCCCTAACATTCCTTGTGCATGTAGCGCATAGTAGCTTGCTACTTTTAACTTTTCATGTCAACAAATTTACATTATTTTACTTTCTTTGTGTGTTGCTGTGGTCCTGTACAATACGTGGTGTTTTGGTTTGTTCTGCTCCTTGCACTGACACCTTGCACTGACACCTTGCACTGACACCTTGCACTGACACCTTGCACTGACACCTTGCACTGACACCTTGCACTGACACCTTGCACTGACACCTTGCACTGACACCTTGCACTGACACCTTGCACTGACACCTTGCACTGACACCTTGCACTGACACCTTGCACTGACACCTTGCACTGACACCTTGCACTGACACCTTGCACTGACACCTTGCACTGACACCTTGCACTGACACCTTGCACTGACACCTTGCACTGACACCTTGCACTGACACCTTGCACTGACACCTTGCACTGACACCTTGCACTGACACCTTGCACTGACACCTTGCACTGACACCTTGCACTGACACCTTGCACTGACACCTTGCACTGACACCTTGCACTGACACCTTGCACTGACACCTTGCACTGACACCTTGCACTGACACCTTGCACTGACACCTTGCACTGACACCTTGCACTGACACCTTGCACTGACACCTTGCACTGACACCTTGCACTGACACCTTGCACTGACACCTTGCACTGACACCTTGCACTGACACCTTGCACTGACACCTTGCACTGACACCTTGCACTGACACCTTGCACTGACACCTTGCACTGACACCTTGCACTGACACCTTGCACTGACACCTTGCACTGACACCTTGCACTGACACCTTGCACTGACACCTTGCACTGACACCTTGCACTGACACCTTGCACTGACACCTTGCACTGACACCTTGCACTGACACCTTGCACTGACACCTTGCACTGACACCTTGCACTGACACCTTGCACTGACACCTTGCACTGACACCTTGCACTGACACCTTGCACTGACACCTTGCACTGACACCTTGCACTGACACCTTGCACTGACACCTTGCACTGACACCTTGCACTGACACCTTGCACTGACACCTTGCACTGACACCTTGCACTGACACCTTGCACTGACACCTTGCACTGACACCTTGCACTGACACCTTGCACTGACACCTTGCACTGACACCTTGCACTGACACCTTGCACTGACACCTTGCACTGACACCTTGCACTGACACCTTGCACTGACACCTTGCACTGACACCTTGCACTGACACCTTGCACTGACACCTTGCACTGACACCTTGCACTGACACCTTGCACTGACACCTTGCACTGACACCTTGCACTGACACCTTGCACTGACACCTTGCACTGACACCTTGCACTGACACCTTGCACTGACACCTTGCACTGACACCTTGCACTGACACCTTGCACTGACACCTTGCACTGACACCTTGCACTGACACCTTGCACTGACACCTTGCACTGACACCTTGCACTGACACCTTGCACTGACACCTTGCACTGACACCTTGCACTGACACCTTGCACTGACACCTTGCACTGACACCTTGCACTGACACCTTGCACTGACACCTTGCACTGACACCTTGCACTGACACCTTGCACTGACACCTTGCACTGACACCTTGCACTGACACCTTGCACTGACACCTTGCACTGACACCTTGCACTGACACCTTGCACTGACACCTTGCACTGACACCTTGCACTGACACCTTGCACTGACACCTTGCACTGACACCTTGCACTGACACCTTGCACTGACACCTTGCACTGACACCTTGCACTGACACCTTGCACTGACACCTTGCACTGACACCTTGCACTGACACCTTGCACTGACACCTTGCACTGACACCTTGCACTGACACCTTGCACTGACACCTTGCACTGACACCTTGCACTGACACCTTGCACTGACACCTTGCACTGACACCTTGCACTGACACCTTGCACTGACACCTTGCACTGACACCTTGCACTGACACCTTGCACTGACACCTTGCACTGACACCTTGCACTGACACCTTGCACTGACACCTTGCACTGACACCTTGCACTGACACCTTGCACTGACACCTTGCACTGACACCTTGCACTGACACCTTGCACTGACACCTTGCACTGACACCTTGCACTGACACCTTGCACTGACACCTTGCACTGACACCTTGCACTGACACCTTGCACTGACACCTTGCACTGACACCTTGCACTGACACCTTGCACTGACACCTTGCACTGACACCTTGCACTGACACCTTGCACTGACACCTTGCACTGACACCTTGCACTGACACCTTGCACTGACACCTTGCACTGACACCTTGCACTGACACCTTGCACTGACACCTTGCACTGACACCTTGCACTGACACCTTGCACTGACACCTTGCACTGACACCTTGCACTGACACCTTGCACTGACACCTTGCACTGACACCTTGCACTGACACCTTGCACTGACACCTTGCACTGACACCTTGCACTGACACCTTGCACTGACACCTTGCACTGACACCTTGCACTGACACCTTGCACTGACACCTTGCACTGACACCTTGCACTGACACCTTGCACTGACACCTTGCACTGACACCTTGCACTGACACCTTGCACTGACACCTTGCACTGACACCTTGCACTGACACCTTGCACTGACACCTTGCACTGACACCTTGCACTGACACCTTGCACTGACACCTTGCACTGACACCTTGCACTGACACCTTGCACTGACACCTTGCACTGACACCTTGCACTGACACCTTGCACTGACACCTTGCACTGACACCTTGCACTGACACCTTGCACTGACACCTTGCACTGACACCTTGCACTGACACCTTGCACTGACACCTTGCACTGACACCTTGCACTGACACCTTGCACTGACACCTTGCACTGACACCTTGCACTGACACCTTGCACTGACACCTTGCACTGACACCTTGCACTGACACCTTGCACTGACACCTTGCACTGACACCTTGCACTGACACCTTGCACTGACACCTTGCACTGACACCTTGCACTGACACCTTGCACTGACACCTTGCACTGACACCTTGCACTGACACCTTGCACTGACACCTTGCACTGACACCTTGCACTGACAGGTGTGGATGTACACCTATCTGTACCAGCACTTCGAGAAGTTCAGAACGCCGGAAATCCTCGATGCCGCCAAGAAGGGTAGGTTTGAATTTTCTGAGTTGTGCATTGCCGTTGTGTTCTAACACATGTGGTGATGACTAAGGTGGGTGTCCAGTAGTGATGGCACTGATATTTGGTTAGTCAAATGTATTCGATCTATATACAGTGCTTCAAGAGTGTTTGAATAGGAAATTTCGAATTTGAAGGTGCAAAATATCACTAGAACCAGTGCAAAATGTCACTAGAACCAGTGCATGAACGTGCTAAGACTTGCTCAGATGGCGGCAGTGATTCAATGAGCACAGCTGTGAAGGTAATCAATCACTGATCATGGTGACCTATGCCTGGGCAATGGCAGGGGAGAGCAGCTGAGCTATGCCATTGTGGAGAATAAGAAACGGCTTTGCAAAGCACAAGTTCCGTTGCCGAAAGGCTGATCTGCTAGATATGGAGAAAATAGACGTATTCGTTTGTTTGTTGAATTGGTGTTTGGACAAATAAATGAAATAATCATTTCGCAACTCATGGTTCATTACATCATTTTTGTCCAGGCAAAATATTGTGTTCTTTTCTGTACATGTATCTACTTTCATGAGCATATGCAAACCGAGAACAAAACATGATAGAGACAGACATGGCTGGTTTTAATTTATCCCTTCTCCTTTTTTTCTCCAGGCCTGCAGTTTATTCGCGAGCATTTGCCAATGCGCCACCTGGAGGGGCGTGCGCAGAAGCGCTGCTACTTTGCCGTAACACGCGAGGGCAAGCCGTACCGTGTGCAGCGCAAGCCGTTCACCGAGTGCTTCTTCGCCATGGCGCTATGGGGCATGTACGAGATTACAGACGAAGAAGCATTGAAGGTACGTGCTGAGCGTTTTGTTCTTGTGCCGCGCTGCATTATGTTGCTGTTGTGAGGAACACAGCATCTGCACGGGAAAACTGTGCAGATCAGCGACAGGTACAACCAAATCTCTTCTCTGTTGTTACTTAGAGTGTCCTGTGAAAACACTCCTCAGACAGCAGTTGTCTTCTGAGTGTTTTGACAGGAAACTCGAAGTGACGGCAGAGAAGAGACTTGGCTGTACCGTTGCCGTACTGTATTGCTGGCTCTGTCCACAGGCCACTGGGCACAGGGCACAGGCCACTTGGCACTGAGCACAGGCCACTGGGCACAGGCCACTGGGCACAGGCCACTGGGCACTGGGTACTGTACACAGCCTGAGGGTACATAACGTTAGACACCGGTCAACATGAATACTCCCGTCTATTAATTTATAGGCTTTCTCTGAAATTATCATGTCAGCTGTATTGATTATCGTTGGTGTTGACAGGACCAGGCCATGGCCGAGCTGGAGGCGTATGCATATTGGGCCAGGGAAGATGCCAGCGATCTCGGCGCACCTGTGCTGGAGGGTCAGCCATCCGTCTCCATGCTGAACCGGCCCATGATGCTACTCAACCTAATTCTGCTCATGGTAAAGCCAGACAGCGAATTCTTTGCCCGTCACGCTACCTGGTGTATCGAGCGCATTCTCAAACATAGTCAGGTGAGACCGACCGCTCAGTTTGTATACTCTATCCGGTGACATTATGCTGATGTTTCAGTCAATGATGTAATTAGTTCGTATGCATACAGTCAACTTCGCTTGTAACGACACTCGGCGGGGCATCAAAAAGGTGTCCTTATTCGCGAAGTGTCGTTATACCCGAAGTCTCATTATATGTATTACAGTGGGATGGGACTTTGCTCTGGGCATGGAAATTCTGTCGTCATTCGCGAATTGTCGTTATACCCGCAGTCGTTATTAGCGAAGTTGACTGTATATGAATATTACTTTATAAACAGTGATATCTGTGGATGGAACGGATGAGTTGGCATGTGGAGCTGCTTTCCTCAACACTCACACACACCCATGGATCATTCGACCATAGTGTTTTTTGCGAGGTACATGTAGTTGATGCCACAGCATTCAGGTATACTTGATTGCCATTCCTTGCTGTTGCCGCAGGTCACAAACCAGTAGTACCCACACAGACTGTGGTCTGCTAAATTTCTGGTTTCGTAGGGTGGATACATCTTGGAGATACTGGGACTGGATGACAAGCCGCTGGAAGGCAGTGAAGGACGACACCTCAATCCTGGCCATGCCATGGAGGCCAGCTGGTTTCTGATGGAGTACTGGCGCAAGTTTGACTCGGGAAACTCTAAACTCCTGCAGACCGCCATTGACGAGTGAGTGCTAAGTAAAGTTAAGAAACTGCTAATCATGTCCAAGATGCTTGATTTCTGTGTAATATTGGATGACCGTTTTTATGTGCACTGAATGGACCCTGCAAGGCCTTGCCCAGTTGCTTGCTTAACATTTTGATTGCTGTTGCTGCTGCTGCTCTGCAGATTCCTAACTCGACCGTTAGAGTACGGATGGGACGAGAAGTTCGGTGGCGTGTTCATGTTCCTGGACCGTGACGGCTACCCGCCCGTTCACCTCGAGTGGGACATGAAGCTCTGGTGGCCGCACTGCGAAGGCATGATAGCGTGTCTGATGGCCTACCAGCACACCGGAGATGCGAAGCACTGGAAAGCGTTCCGTCAGCTCTACGACTACTCCTTCAAACATGTGAGCACGTGAAGGCATCTGTTGTGTAGTGACTCCCACCGTAACAGTTAGGTTATGTGTGTTTGAATGCAACTGCTTACAGTCGGTAGTTCACAGCCACCTGCTGTGCATGTCAGCATGCTACATGTACAGTTTTCTTGGCTTTGTGCGAAAACCCTCTTGTACTCTGTGGTGTCTCATGTTAGGTATCAAATCATGCCTTCCTATTGTTCCTACACTGATCCTATGCCCCGTGTCTTAGGCCCCATCCGTGTCTTGCTCTGCTTTCTCCATAGTACCCTGATGCTAAACACGGCGAATGGTTTGGCTACGTGAATCGGCAAGGTGAAATATCACAAACCCTCAAGGCAGGTCCTTACAAAGGTGAGAGAGAGTGTACCATAATTATGTCTACGTTGTAGCCGGCAATTTTGCGATTTTCTGTACGTAGTTCGCAGGGGAGCACAAAATCAAATTTCCAGACTGAAAATACGGTACATATAGATGCTACGATGAAAAACCAAAGTCGATATAGGCCAAACACTTCATGTCTAAGTTGTGAAACATGTCTGTAGCTGCCTTTGATTCTTTGCTGGGTTTTTCCTGGCCACTAACGTTGCATCACCACGGGGCAGCCTATTGTGTGTGAAATTCTGTCTCATTTGAATCCACAATTCAACTATTATGATCATGGTTTTGACCAGGAGTCGTAAAATACCTGGTACACTACGACGCCCTAGTTTCGACAACATGGGCCATGGTCAACTACCTTTTAAATTCACCACTGCTACCCAGTACCTGGGCATTTTAAAATAAGACGTTATCAGTGGGTTTCTGATTAGGCTCTCCCTGACACCTTTCTTTTTTGTTGCTTTTTGTTCTACTGTTTATTCCTGGTTCTTGTTGCGTGCAGGCTGCTTTCACACTGTGCGGTGCTGGGCATTGTGCAGTGAGCTAGTTGACAGTATTCTCAAGAAGTAACGGATGGCTGGACACGGTTTCTGGCCAAATTGTTACCTAAGAATTATTTGCTTTCTTTTGTGAGAAAACCAATTTTAAAAGTGCTACTGTAGGTAGGTAGGTAGTCACGTTGAATTTTGACAACAACAAGAAACAGGGTGATAACCCTGGGCTGATAGCCAAACTACTAATTATTAGCACCCATCCATCACTAGCTCTTTATAGCTCATTTTAATCTTCTTCTTCTTTTTTTACTATGTGTAGCAGTGCTTGCCAATAGGAGTCGGTATATCCATACCATCAGTCTTCGTGAAAGTACACATAGGTATTACTATTAGGGAGTTTGGAAATTTGTTGTGCGATTTTTCATCATTTTTAAAAGTTCTTTTACCGCCCTCGAAATCGATCAGCTTCATGGTCACTTTCATAAGTTGTTTTTCATCCTTCCTGCTGACTTTCCTCAAACGGTCCAGAAATAAAAACATCAACTGCAGGAAAGGATCTGGTTGTTGCCGTCCGGCCTCACTAGTGTACTATTGGGCACATGCACAGCATTGACTGGATTGTACTTGTGCGGCGTGCAAGCTAACATTTTTGGGGTAGGGGAAGCATGCACCTGTTCTGCCTCCATGCAGGAAGGTTGTGGACCACCACTTGTATCCATGATTTCAGCTACCCACCACCAGCCAGTGCATTTAACTCGCAGAATAGCGTATTTCCAGAGAAAATGTTTGGATAGTTTGAGCCACTTTCAAAATTTTAAATCAGATACGTCAATGGCCGAAGCAGCCAAACTGGGTGACACAGCCCTGCCACTACAAACACAATGGACACCCAATGAATAGCCATTGCAGAACAGGACATTTTCTTCAGCATAGCCAGAAACAATAGAGAAAGCGATGAAATAAGCAAATATAAAAGTCAAAATGCCTAGTTGACAAAAGTAGTATGATTTTCATGTTTTGAAGGACCCATGCAATGCATGTACCTAAAGTTGAATTTAACAATGATAATTTCCACCAACAAAGAGAGTATGTACACAGATCAGGCTTCTTTCAACAAGAACAGAGAAGTTTAGTCAAGTGCTTCACTTGCTCTCATGATCATGGACGGGACAGCATGGGCCCAGGCAAGACCAACACAAGATAGGAGCTGTATGCGAGCGAGTGGCATGGTGCGTCTGTACGGGGTCTGTGCAGGATACTGTGCTGAGCAAGGCGGCGGAGAAGATGATGAAAGCCTGCACATCACTCCTTGCGCAGGACGCAGAGCAGAACAGAACACTGCCCAGCACGTGGAGGGGCCGAGCTAAGAATCACGCTCGTGAACAAACTCAGAGCGATGGTAGCGATCAGACCAATGGGCAATTGTACACAAGAGCTGACCGATCGTCAGACACCGAGACCAGCTTGTCGCCAGTATCATTGAAGGCAATACCCCATACCTAAAGAGAACGTACAAACACAACACCTGGTCACAGCATTGCACAGCAGCATTTCACCCACCCCTTCCTCATTGGAATGTAGCAAGTCACAACGTAAGGTGCAAATGGGACAAGCTAGAAGCAAAACAAGAACACACTCCTACCTGTTCTGAATGTTCCTGGAAGGTGTGCAAGCATTTCTTGGTGCTCATGTCCCAGATCTTCACTGTTTTGTCACTAGAGCTGAAGAAAGAAGCATAGTTACAGCACAACAGAAAAGAGTAAAGTTCGCACATCCGCGTTACCACTGGCTATACAATTGTGGTGAGAAACACAACCAAAGTTTCGTTCGTGCCAGGTCACCACCATGCCTGGTTATACCAGGGTGCCAGACACAGCGCCGAACAGTGAGGGTGAGGTCACGAGGTGGTAAGTCTCACAACCAATGCCCGACAAGGGGCGATCATGGTTGTATCTTTAAACTATTATTAGGAGATGCCCACACTAGAACACTGCCACTAGCCACGAGAACACACAACAAACTATGACAGCAAGAGAATTGTACCGGTCAAGAGGGTCTCGTAATTCAATTGTGCACCTGGCAGTATTCAGTGCATGCAGTAGTCACTACAATACCACTCACCTGGTAGCAAAGTGTAGGTTATCTGGATGAAACTGAACACCGAGTACCCAGGAACTGTGTGCTGAGATGGATGCGCTCAGCGTTGCATTTTGCCTGCACACACACACCACAACAAACAAAATCAAGTTCAGGATTTTTAACAGAAGTCCACAAACCCACACTGTCACAGAGGTCATGGCACATTCATGTTTGACTACAGAAAAAACGAGCTACGTATTACATGCTTATGTAACCAAACTCTATTGTTGCTTTCCCAATGATCTGATCACTATGGTGCATCTGCAAAAGTACTTGGGTTAGAGATACTCCGAATCAGATAATCTTGGCAAATGCAGCAAATGCAGCAAAGATCTGTTGTGCTAGCGTATTCCTCTGGAAAGCTGAAACTCAACTCAGCCACATGCACAAATTAGTTGATTTGCACTTGAATATAAGGCCACACCAAGTTATTTCTATGTTTCGCGTCACCCGCGCGCGTACCTTTTCGAATCCTTGACAAGAAAAAAAGAACCTAGACGAGCCAATCGATGGCTATTCTGGCGAACATTCTCTAGCCAGTATGGCAGATCAGAGGTTATCAGCTTCTCCATAATCTTGTATTCCAGGCTATGGTACGTAGAAGGTGAGAGAGATGAAAATTTCTATTTTTCCAACCCGTGCAGTAGGCCTAGGGCCTGCTCACCAAGCGAGCAGAGATTCCAGGTGTCAAGGACTTCGAGATTTTCCACGATTGTGATGGAGCGGGATCCCACTCGACTCATGTCAAAATGCAGAAGGAGCCATCCATGAAATCTCTTATTGTATCGCTCCAGCCCAGTCTGCCAGCTGTCCTGTGACGACTTGTCGTCGTTTTGGATAGACGTGACAGTTTAGTAGTGGTATTCTGTGTGCAACATGGCTCAGTACACATAGAATGGAGTTTTTTTTCTTCTGTTTTTTTTTTCTGTTTTTTTTCGCCCGCCCGCGTGCCTTTTCCAGAAAATATCCGACGCGAAACATAGAATTAACTTGGTGTGGCCTAAGCAGTATTCTGATCGGACATACACATCATAGAGTTTGACATATCCATCATCCGATGCAGTGGCTAGAGTCTTGGAGTCCGGAGAGAATGCAAGTGACCGCACTGACATAGAGTGTCCTGGAGAGGGAGAACAAGACAGTCATGTTGCAGGTCAAAACCAGGTGAAAGCCAATGTACACACACACATATGTTTGGACAACGTACAGTGACATCATGCGCAGGAAGACAGTGCTTGTTTCCAAAGCATATTCAAAATGTAGCATGTTCTCATGTTCAGTAGTCTTTGGAACTAGAACCCAAGGACAGGAGTTTGGCGAGAGGACTAACGTACATGTATTCAGAATCCCCAAAAGCTTAAAAAACCCTCACCGGACAGCGTGTGCAGCAAGCGTCCAGTACCCATGTCAAAGAGATTGACCTGGCCATCTACTGCACCCGATGCCAGCAAACGAGCATCAGGACTCTGCAGATCACACAACACAGCAAACAAGGAATGGATGGCATGAACGCGACTTTTTTTAGAAATCAAACTCCAGTTACCACTGTGCATGATATACAATGAGTGAATCTGAAGAAGGATTCTGGAATAGGATACACCAGATCTATGAAGTAACAATGTTCATTCCAGCACATTGCACGTCATGAGGACAATAGACACCCTTAGCAAACAACGGTAACGCTATTTTTTTTTACGGTACTCGTACCTTGATCACCCAAATACCGTTGAAGCTGCAGCGTAAAAACGTTATGGGGGCTGATTTATCGTTGTGACCAACGGTACATGTTTTGGCCAAATATTGCATAGTCCGTACGCATTTCACCTTTTATCGCGTATATGGTGACATGAATGGTTGTACAATATACCGCGCAAAATCAAAGCTATTCTCGTGGCAACAGCGTACTAAAAATAGCGTGCATCTTGCTAAAGGTCGAACCAAAATCACGGTATTTTCCCCCTTACGGTAATACCGTTACAAGTTACAACATAACGTTTTTCGCTAAGGGTGTCTAATATCAGGGAAAACCTGCTCTGTTGCACCAATGTAGGAACTGGGTTGTCTCAACCAGCAGGCGCACGCACACGTGACAGAATGTTTCAACGCTTACAAGCTCTATTGATGCCGACACAACAAGTTACAACAACATACTCGTACACAAGAGAGAAGACAGCAGGGTGACACTAAACTTACATAAGCCACACTCATAATGAACTTGCCGCGTGTATCAAGTGAAGTTTCCCGTTGACCGCTCTCTACACCAAACAAGTTGATATTGCCCGAATGACTGCCGCTGGCCAGAAAGCGGCCATCAGGAGAGAAAGCCAGGGTCCATAATTCCGCTGCATCAACAACAATAATTCACAGTGAGAGGTGTCAGGTAACCACAATGGACACGTGGAAGTACAGTCAAGCCTCATTAGGATGAACTTCACGGGACTGAACAAGTTTGCTTGTCTTACATTATCCAGAGTTACTAGAGAGGTTCTGCAAAACAAAAAATCGAACGAAGTTTCGCGACAGTCCTTGAGAAAGTGTGTACGAATTTTCGCACGAACTTTGCGTTCTGCACATTTTCGTAGTTCGCACGGGCCAATTGCACGTACGCCATGACCCGATCTCACGAAATTTCCTACGAAAGTTCATTTCGCGTTCCCTGGAAGTTTCGCGTCCAAAGTTGCGAAAGTTCGTGCGAAGTTTCGCACTTCATGACGTAGAGTGAAAGTTTGTACGCATTTTCGTTTTGCAGAACCTCTCTATTCTTATCCAGATCTGACAAAAAATTGATATGCATATCATACGGAGTGTATTTATGTGAAGGTACATGCTGTGGCACATGTAAAGTATTTATTCATAATCATAGCATAAGCCAGCAACAGGTAAGTGCAATTATGTACAATGAATTCATGACCACATATCCTCCGCCTTGCAACATGCTGTTAATTCGTTTTGCCGATACAGGAGGCCTCGATTATCGGAAAAAAAACTACAGCCAGCATACGCATGTGGACCGAAAGTTCGTACTACGCGCTGATTTTTGTTCAAATCACGCTTGAAATTAGTTCGTCTTCACGAAAGTTCGCCGTACAGGAGTTCGTCGTAAACGAATAATTTTGACTTGATATGATGCCTGGCCAATCATAGGATTGGCCCTAGTTCGTACTAATGGAAAGTTCGCCTTATCAGTGTTCGTCCAAACGAGGTTTGACTGTATGTCATATGCATACTGCCAAAGAGATATCAGTTGTACACGTGCGTGAGTTACAGCAATGGTGTTCACTTCCTACAGGTGTAGCTTTTCGTCGCAGGACGAGTCATTCAGGGATGAAAACGTTATGTGCTTATTAAAACACTCTCTTGGACAGCCTGGAACCTCTCTGTTTTATATGTGCTTATTATGAAGAAGAAGCACTGTCAATTAGCCTGGCCATAATAATACGCCTACCCCTGACATGCTTGCCTGCCTACTCGTGTGCACACATGTATTCTTGCCGGAAATGTCTACCTGTGTCGACAATAATTTTTCGTGGACTGATCTTCTTTTTTTTTAGTGTTTGCACACTCTTGGCTACTGCTGTGGCACTTTTGTATTTTCCGTGCTGCTGCGCTCTCTATGGCTGCATTAGCCGTATTAACTGTTGTACCCATATGCGCACATTCAATCCCTGGCTACACTTTGGAACTGTTTTCGTTGCCTATGTCCTCATCTCTCTTTGCTTTGTTTTCGCTGCCTGGGCTCCCATTTATGTTTGCTTGCTTGCTTGCTTGTATTGCTGAGGGAGCATATGCTGGTTTGTATTCGTGGGTCCCCATGGTGCATGGGCCACGCGTACTCATCCGGCGGATATGTGTGAATACAGTCTACTCGCGATAAGTCACGCACAGTGTCCTGGAATAGAAAATGCGCGACTTACCGCGAGTGCGCGACTTACATTATGCACCACGTCATGCATATGTACAGCCGTCATTTTTTCTTCTGCATATGGACATGTGTGCTGAACACGCGTACAAGCACTGAGCTGCATGCGCACGGTGCACTGTCTAGTCTGTAGTCTACACTGACTGTACACTGCTGCTGTACACGATAATGAAGGCATGATCGAGAAAGACAAGTAACGACGTTCCGTTACTTTTGCCGTTTTGGTAGGGATTTGACAAGACGCACTTCTGTTTCCGTCGTGTAAACACTTCGTTTCCCTTTGCTTGACGATGCCTTCTCATAAGAAAACGAAAGAACAGCGAACAGTGGCTGATCGACTGCGTTTGGTTCGTCTCTATCGTGAGAGTGGAAAAAATTCCGCTCGAAAATTTGCGAAGTTGAACAATGTTCCGGAGGCGATATTCCGCGGCTGGCTGAGGGATGCTGAAGCTGGCAAACTTGCCGATGCTAATCCGTCTGGTCCACAGTATCAAAATAATAAATTCTACTACTACTACTACTACTACTACTACAGGGAGTCTGCAACAGAAGTTCCCAGCTCGGGAAAATTGAGGAGTGGCTAGTGAAGTATATTTTGCTTCGAAGGGAGAAGTTTGTGACTGACAAACTTGGATTGTCGTGGGTGATCCTGAGGGAGAAGGCTCTCATACAATATGCACATAATAATTATATTCTTACCTTTACAGTATTCAAGCTCCATCATTGAAAACCACATCATTCGCAAATATTCACGAAATCCACGAAATCCACAAAATCCCGAAAAATAAAAAATTCTTGAGATGGGTGTCCTGGATGAAAAAATGCGTGACTTATCGCGAGTGCGTGACTTAAAAGTGCGTGACTTATCGCGAGTAGACTGTAATAATAATAATATTATGAAGACGTGTTCTGGGACGAGTCGACTTTCAGCATCTACATCTTCATCCCATATGGTCGAAGAGCCCATCCACACATAGAGTGTGGATGGGAGTCAACCTATTTTTGCACACATTTTCATGTAGAGATCAGCTTCACTGCATGCACCGTGGGCTGAGCCTGAACATTTCAGTTTGAAGAAAAACTGTTTTCCCCCAGTGACTCAACCCTGAGTGAGGGACTTTCCCTTGACCAGCATGCAGTTTCACCCCAGCATGCTCTGAGCTCGTGGGCGACATGATAAAACACCCAGTGAGCAATTTGAACAGCTTGGAATGAGTGAGAGTGAAATGGCTGGAGAGAGAATGTTCTCGCACATCCTGCTCTGGGACTATTGTGTGGCGCGGCCATAGTGTTGGATATGTGCAGTACTCAGTGGTAGCTTACTATGCTCTGCTAGCAAAAAGCTTTCCAGAATTATCAAGATTGTGAAAAGTGGGTTGATTATAACTAAAATCACGCCAGGACATATCGCATTTTCTGCACTAAAGGGTTAAAATTAAAAAGCCAAAAAATAATAAGCAAAGTGGTTTTGTAGATCAACTCACATGGTCCAGCATTGATAGCTTTAATCTGCTTTCCACTCTCCAAATCCCACAGTCTGATGAAGCAATCCAGTGAACTGCTAGCACAGACTACAGCAGCAGCACAAAGCACACAGCAACACGACGGTCATGAAGAGCGATGGAAAGAAGGGGGGGGGGGGGCAGTACTGGGCTACCATAAGTTGCCAATTCAAGAAAGACATTTCTGCACCAATCAGGAAGGCACATTTCAAACTGAATTTAGGGCTGCATGTATGCATATGACAATCAAATTCATTCCTATAACCACTCGCGGACAAACTGCACTGTTCTACTTCAGTAGTGGTGACGAGCATGTGGAGTGATCCTCTAAACACATTTGAGTATAATACCCAAATCATCACAGTGACTACTCTATAGCTTTATGAGATAATAATCATAATATCCCAAACTGGCAGAGAAAACAACTCATTGAAACACTCCCAACCAATGGCAAAATACAGTAGTGTTAGACGAATCACCCAGTACTTACCTGTTCCAGAATGATTGATGACGACCGACACAACACCTAGCTGATGCCCTTCACAGGAATGCCGCAGCACTAGGTCATTGCCTTTCCTACATGACACACAAACACACACACACACACACACGCACATACATAGATACACACATGCTAACACAATGATGAGTGCACATGTATGCACATGCACGACGCAGAACATACACGCCAGGCACTGTACAGCTTGACGAGCATTCATGCTAGATAGATACCATTTTCTATAGGTCGCGTCAAAACCAGTCAGATTGACTTTTCACATGCGCAGGAACACCACTACCCTCAAGGATAATGACAGATGCACAGGTGCATATCAGCTACCCGGCACCCTGGGGACTGGGTGCTGTTGGGTACATGGATAGTCTGGATAACTGAAGCAGCAAGCTACATATCCATCTTGTGTTCACACTTCAAAAGGACTGTAGAGCATGATTTTTCAAGTCCTGAAAACATTCAGTGAATCTCTTACCACTGCCAGCACTTGACTTTGTCATCCACTGATCCAGTCACGACATAGTCACAGTTGTCTCGTACACTCTTTTGCCAAGCTACACTCCATATGCTATCATTATGAGCTGCAAAGCACACGCCCAGGCACACAAACATCCATGAACATAAGCCTGGGCAACCGGGCAACCCTACTTGATGCATGGGGGCACAAGTGGTCACAGGGAGAGTGATCGCCACAGGTACCTCAAGAAAGACACATGTGCACAACTGGGGTGTGGCTTGGAGGGGTCTCGGGACGCACGCCGTTCCCAAAGAGCCAACCATACATTTACAACACTATCATTGACAACCCTAGTCATGTCACTCATGTATTCCATGTATTCCACGCCAACGACCCAGGTCCAAACGCCCAGGGTTTCCAAGCCACCTGGAAACCCCACATTATACATGTCTTAAACGATTCTGTCAGCTCATTGATACAAGGATCAATTGCCAACACACATCATGTTAGTGTCGTTGCTACTAGCACTTAAATCTGAGTACGACCCAATCTAAGAACGGGTTCAGATGTGCATCGCTGACGTGAATCCGGCAGCCAGAAAATAAATCTGAAAAGTATTGCTCTTTACGGCCACCGGGGACCTCAAATGCAGTGTGAGCGTGAGAGGGGGAAAGGACGTGTACATTGGGTGATACATGGTTTGGTTCATGAATTCGTGTGAAATTGCATATTACCTGCTTGCTTTTTAGACTCAACGCTGAACTGGAGAGGACAGATTTACACAACAGCGCAAACCAATCAATTCCAATTTCGACAATTCTTGAAGTAAAAAATTGCATATACATACCATTTCACCGCCTTAGACCACAGACAGATTTACAGCACGCCAAAGACTCGGCCTGAAGTTTTATTGTGCAACACAACGTAATTGATCTATTCAGCCACAATTTCTGTTTGTTCTTGGCTGTTCTTTTCGGGGAAAAAACTAGCAGTACACTACGTCTGTTCTCATCAGGAACACAATCATGTACAAGAAATCTGAATTGCAAAGCAACGCGGATCTAGAGCTCAAATAATTCAAACAAATGCATTTGTTGATACCAAAGTGAAGTAAACTCAAAATGTATACTGTCAGTACGGGATATGAATGTATGCAGTAGAAAAATTCAAGCTCCTCAAAAATGCATGTATTTTTCGAACCCGCTTTTTGTACTTTCTGCTTTTATCGCCCAAAAAAAACAAGACTCGTGACGTGACGTCGGCATGGCTTTTGACTACGTAGCATCAAGAGTAGATAAACACTCTTGGTAGCATGCTGAGTCTGTACGGCGTTGTGTGTGTAGATCTACGAGTCTGTGAGTACGGAGCCCAAGCGGAGTCCACAGACTGCCACAGACGGACCTGCTATGAGTGGAAGCTTCACAGAAAGCTGCAAATATCGCTATTTGAAGGTTATGGTATTTCCAACAAACCAGGACTCCTAGATCCTGAGTTCATTTGAGTTGATATTTGTGGTGCCTCTATTTCACAATGATGCTTCGCGCGGGCCTTGTCATATTTCTTGTCTGCCTCCAACTGAGTAAGCGCAGCGTCAAGAGTTTTCTTGGCTTTGTGTTTCCTGTCAACATTGACTGTTCTAATTCTCACATTTCCTAATTCTTCTTCAGGCGATGCTGCGAAGAACGTCAGCGAGAGAATCTATATGACGATTGATTCAAAAAATGGCTTTAGTCCATGTATTCGACTGACCAATGCAAATAAGCAAGTTGGCTGCAGCTGTAAGTCATGCAAAGAAATTCTTTTGTACTATTTTTCCTGATTTTTGAATTATCAGAAGAAGAATCTATTTGGACATGGACTCAGATGTAGAGCCAAGAATTTGATTAAAGAGCGAAAGGACAAAAGTTTACTTTTTATGCGTGGTTGTCCACCAATTTATTGGCATAGTACTATGGGGTCAGAACGCGCTACATTTGGTACAATACTGACGTATGGTACTGACATTGAGTATGAGCATGTTCGGATAAGGGAGCGGTCACACACCCATCTAAAACAGATGTACTCCCTCGTATTCCCATCATTTCTCATTGTTTTGCAGTACCACAGGAAGGTGCATGCCAGCTCCTCAAAATTGCCCATGTGGATAGGTTTTGAGTCTTTTGACGACACCCTGCTGTCATGCATCCAGCTGACCAGTGCTGCGGTGCTGCGGGTGGGAAAACTACAGCAAACTCCGCGTTGTCGCCACCAATTCAAGTGCGTGACCAGGTGTTTCGGATAATCGATCGTTCGGATAGTGGACGTTTGGATATTCTGCATTCCACTGTTGTTCTAGCCAGCAGTGTTATGGTGTTGTACATAATACTGCCTGCTGTACTTGTCCGAAATCTCCACTAGTACACCTAGTTGTGTGCTGGGGTTACTGGACTAATGGCACAGGGCTGTTGCACCCGGTTGGTCTGGCTATGGCCGAACCTGATTTCGAAATAAAGAGTTGATCCGCCCAAGTCATGCAAAACCTGAAATCTCGGCACTGCAGTCCCGTGGCAATGAATCTGCTTGGAGTATGCTTGACTTGAAGTTGAGTGGTACATGCAGTTATATAATATATAGCCATCCTTTTTTTTGCTGCTTTTGTTGGCATGTGTCTTTCAACATTTTCCTAGCACCCAGCGGTGGAGCTCATGGTGTTATGCACCTGGTCAACTCGTCAGTTGACTTGGCCTGGGTGATGACCACTGGTACTCACCATCCCTACGTTCCACTCATCACTCAATCATTTTTGGCAACGTGAGTACTTTTCACCACTGTCTCGGGCAGTGTGCTATTCTGATAGTTTGTTTGTGGAGGAGGTTACTGTGCGATGTTTTCACCATCTCGTAGTCCTTTGTAACTAGGCTGGAAAGGAATATCGAATGAAGAGATCAGACTTTTCTCAGAAATTCTAGTTTGGCTTCTTGCATTCGTATATTCAGATCTAAGAGCACTTCCAGTGAGCCAACACCAGCTCCGCATGCCAGCCCGGACCCTATGTCAGAACTGCATGTATGCATGCACCAACACAATCCACATGATCTTACATCTGCACTGATGGCACACATATATACTATAAAGAAGAGGCACCTGTGACGTGTGTTTGTGTGTGTGTCACGCAGAAGCGCTGCGGAGCAGCGCTGCCCTGAGCACGCGAAGCGTGCGAACAGTGTAGCTAGCGGCCGCAGAAGCACTGAGCACGCGAAGCGTGCGAATCGTGTAGCCACCACCACGTGCTGAGCACGTGTGCTGTTCATGTACAGTCGTCCCTCTCTAATCCGGCACTTGTTTATCCGGAACCCTTGCCAACCGGCGCATTTTCTGATGAAACCGATTTTTTTCGTTCAATTCCTACATCTTAATCCGGCACTTGAATTCCGCCTCCGGCAGTGACTTTTTGAAACGAATCGCTCAAACTGCACGTAGTTTGATTTCATAATCCGGCAGTCCTAGGGTTCCCATTAAAAGGCAACGCCTGTTGGGAGTTCCCTAGTAAGATAATAAATTCTACTACTACTACTACTACTACTACTAGTCGTAAATCGACTGTGCGTGTGTGTGCAAGAGTACGTATACATGTGAACATGTTCTCTGTTTTACTTTATCACTGTGTACATATATATTCCTGGAGAAAAGTTGAGAATATAAAGCCGTGCACCAAATACTGGGGTCGACACGGAAAAACCCTGCGTTTTGACGTATGATACATGCATGAAATTGGGTAGGGCCGGGTCAGAGGGCAGGATTTCTTAATCCATCACCCTCGTTAATCCAGCAGAAAATGCCGTAGCAAAAGGTGCCGGATTAGAGAGGGACGACTGTACTTGCTTCACCCGCATGCCACGTTCGGCCAGGCAACGCTGGCCGGGTGCTGCTAGTAGTATACGAAAGATCAAGTGCTAATATAACCAAAAGAATGTTGTACTGGTGATGCATCACAATGTTGTATTTGACGCGTTTATATATTTATTTCAATCCTAATCGTAGCTTTCTGGAATTCTCTTCTCATTGGTCCCCTGTAGTCAGCCTGATATGCTTACTAAGTTCATTGGCAATTCACGCATCGCTGGTGCTCTTATCATAATGGAGAAGTCGTCAAGCCTCAATGGTACGTACATCACCTGTTTGCACTATCTAGTGTGGTGGCGTATGCACACATGCTGCTCGGTATGATACAGTCGTACTGCCTTGAGTAGAGTTATCGATAGTGTGTGTGTGTGTGTGTGTGTATGTGTGTATGTGTGTATGTGTGTATGCCAGCTAGTTCGGTTGGTGGGTACACTTATGCCGGATAGTGTTGGGTCTGTTTCTAACAGGCTCGGCTGCTTGAAGGTGTATTGTTGTACCTGCCGCCTTTGTTGGTTTCAGGGTCCATGTACTTTCTATTTGAAGTGTTGTAATCAAGGGTGCTAGTGGAGCTGATATCAGATCCACTCTGATTTAGCCACCCACACTAGCAGCAAGTATTACCTTCACTGGAGGCAGGGGTAACTGCAGTTGGATCCCGGGGCGGATACCCTGATGCTGTCAATCTTTTTTCTGCACCTTGTCCTCATCCACTTAGGGGCCTTCCGTGAATACCGATATTTATTTAGAAACGAAAACTAGTCGTTTCTCTTCAACCCCCCCCCCCCTCCCTGAGAAACAAACACATACAAATGGTACATAGTATCGATATTTTTTGGTCTTTTTTTCTGGACATGCTCACGCATGCAAAATGTACATCGATATTTTTTCGAGAAACGAACAAGCGCTCAACCCCCTCCCCCCTAAACGACTAGTTTTCGTTTCTAAATAAATATCGATATTTACGGATGGCCCCTTACCGAGGTGTGGTGATCCCATGAGTGGGATCATTTTCCAAGTCCACCCATAGTTTGGGGATTTCAGGGGGTGTCGGCCGTTGGGCGGTTCGATATCCAATTGAGTCATCTTTCCAAGATTCCTTTTGAGTCTCTCTCCCCTCTCCCGGGGAGACCCACGTGACCAGTTTTGGCAGTGAGCAAATACAAGTGTGTGTGTGTGTGTGTGTGTGTGTGTGTGTGTGTGTGTGTGTGTTTGTGTGTGTCAGTGTCAGAGGTGCTAAATCCCCCGATCACCCGGGAGATCTCCCGATTTTGGTGTTGTTTTTGAAACATCTCCCGATCTCCCGCCCAATATCAAAAACCTCCCGACTTGCAGCCGTTTTATCAAGTTCGTCAAGCATGCACACACACACATCCGGTAAAAAAAAGAGAAGAAAAAGAAGTTCTGCACTCGAGTCGTCATCTCTCTTGAGTCGCTTTTCAGCTCTTTCAGATCAGCCTTTCTCCACTTCTTTGATTTCATTCCGCTGAACTTTGGTGATGCCGCCGTTGTTCAAGTAGGCGTTTAAGCTGCGTAATCCGCCACAGTGGCGATAACTCGTTTCCACCAGGGAGGTGTAAACTATTTTTTACAGCTGCTTTTTCCCTCTCTAATTGTGTGGCCTCGCTGCCCCTTTCCATCGGTCTTTATCACTCTCAAACTACTAAGGGCTAGAGAGGCCAAGTCGAGCATTATGTCCTCGGAGAAGTGGTATTTCAGTTCCGCTCGTCATGGCTGTCATCACCTACATTGTATGTTGCCACAGCGCAACCATCGATTCCGCTCGGTTTGTGTGGAATGCTCGCTTTCCTTGCATCGTATCTCTTTCATGGCATGTCAGGGAAAGTAATCGTGACTAATTTCACGGCAGTTTGTGCGCAAACCAGTCCCAAAAAGTCCATCGCAAAGTTTTTTGTTTACGGAGGAAAAAACACTCGTTTAAAGGCCCACCGACCTCCCGCCCGACCTCCCGCCCGACGTCCCGCCTGGCTACCTCCCTTTGGAGGGAGATCTCCCGGCCAAAGAAAAAATGAACTTGGCAACTCTGTGAGTCCTTGCCATTCGGGAAATGCTTGCTGCAGATTCTCACGTGATCACCCGTAAAATCACGGCTCGGTACAATTTCGTTCAGAGCGCGGAGCCAGGCCTTACGATGAGGGGGGATTCTTGGGAACTCAATAGAACACTACGCCACTAGCAGCGGCGACCTTTGCCTCGCTCTTCCCGTTATTCTTGCAGCGTGGGATACTGCATACACTCGTCATAATTACTGCGACTCTTTGGCTACACGTTCGCTAGAATACGTTCACCATAGGGTCCAAGCAAAACCAATATTACCACGGAGAGCCGACCCAGCGGCAATGTGCCGTCCACGCCCGACAACAGCGGATGATGATTGTAGTCAGTTTGAAACCAAGGATTTACTACTTGTATCATACTAGTGCTGTCCGCTTCAGCTCTGAGCCTATTTCCACTGACCAGATATGGGCAGAATGGTACGGAAACAGCGTACCTCACACTTACTACGACTTAGCAAAGCCTCGAAGAAATTTTATAACAACTAGCTACCGAAGGATGTACCCAGAGTGCTGACAATGCTCAACACCACAAAGGCAGAGCGTAATACACAACAGAACAACAAGGACAATCAACAACTCAACAACTAGCTACATGCTTGCTCCTCCGAAAGACAGCGCGTTTCGTCCAGAATTTCTTGATATACTTCTCTCCGTACTAACTGCGAATACGAAGAGAAGAGTGAAGGCCGAAGTGAAGGTTGGCTAGTTCCATTCTTGACACGACGACAGTCTTGGCCTCCGAACACGGGAAATTACCTCCACGGACTTCACTTGCACGTGGTGCGGCCTTGCGTGCACGCGAGCTGGCCTCCGGAGCTCCTCTTATTCCGTCGGGGTTCGAGTGTCGTAGATCTACTCTCTGACACCGCTGAGCTGGCCCTGGGCCCTGTTATGTACTGGACATGGGCGCAAACAGACTCAGTGGCTAGTCATATCACAGTCATGCAACTGTTATGTACGCTACATGTAGACGTAGTAGTAGGACTAGCTGCCCAGCGCTAGCATCATGACCCTGGCCTAGGCTCACTCATGGCCCATACTACTAGTAGTACAGTAATACTATTACATGTACTGGGTTTTTGACAGGCGTTGGCATGGGACACTTTTGGTTCCGAAATCACTTCAGAAGTACTAGGTCTTATTCTGTCAGATCCTGACCAAACTACCGGTAATACTTTGGTGCTGGACGCGGTACGCAGGGCACTAGGGCTGGCCTCCACATCCACGGACTGTGATCACTAGTGGATCTGGGCTACCTGCCAAGCTGGCAGCTTCTGACATGTCACACGACTGTAGGTATGGAAAGGACCAATCGCTATCAGGGCCTAGATGAGGCGATCAAGGCATGCTAGAACTCCATACTTGCTGAGTGGGCTTTGATTTACCGATCAAGCTCGCTTTTTTTACTCGAGAAGGTTGAGCCGTGCTTTCAAGCACAATAGGAAGATCGAAATGTGTGTTCATGTCAGAAATCCAATCAAAACAGTCGAGTTCATGTTCTACCAGCCGATCACAGCCCTTCGCGAAATATTTATAAGTACGATATCAGTTTACTAGCTTGGGTGCATGTCAGAAATGTAATCAAAACACTCGTGCTCGTGTTCGATCAGCCTACATCACAGCCCTTCATGCTTCACGCGGTGGGCTGTGGTTAGGCGATCTCGTACTCTTGCTTGATTCCATACTTCATCTTGCCTTGACAAGAGTTGAAGACTCGAGTCCAGACAAGGCTTCCAGTACAGCAGATTGCAAATGGTTCTTCTGACATGTCACATGACTGTAGGCACGGAAATGACCAATCGCACTGCACATAGCAGGGCCTAGAAAGCTCTAGATGAGGCGATCAAGGCATGCTAGAACTCCACACTTGCTGAACGGGCTTTGATTATCCCATCAAAGCCTGCTCCACGAGTATCACGTAGCGCGCGAGCTGCATTCGAAACCGTTTTCTGTTCGCGGGCCTTTTACAGTCGAACAAAGCCCTAGTTTTCGACTTGTTGAGTGCGCTCGGGCCTGGGATGACCTTGCTATTCTCTGTTTTTGTGCTGGGCTTGCGGTTGTTGGGCTTGCATACTATTACTTGTATGTACCGGTATGGTGTTGATGAGTGGAGTGCATGTAGTCACACATGCTGGGGTAACACAAGCTAGCCTTGGAAGCTGTGAATGTAGTTGCGATTATTTGATCATGTTTTGCTGGCTTGTTGACTGGTTTGTTGGCTGTCTCTATTTGCAACAGGACAATCTTTCTCACCAGACCTGAAATGCCCCAACCAAGGTTTTGGTACGTTGTTGTTGTCTTCTAAAACTGACATACTTCTCATTGTTGTTTGTCTCTGTTGGCGAGGGAAAGGAAAGCATGCGTGTATGCATGGTGTTTAGAGGTCATTGCAGAATCACATTTTCCAGCATCTCATCAGAGTCTCCTGTCATCACTGCGTGACTGCGTTTGACTTCAAGACTGCTCTGTGTAATACACGTTGCTACATGTGTGCATGCACTTTGCTCTTTTTCCCCTTCTGATTGCATCAGGCCTGTACTCCAAAGACGCGCAGTGCAATTGGAACCCAGCTGTAAGCATACGGAACTACTTGACTGTCTCTACGTGGCTAGTATTTTAATTAACTGCACGGTTGTGATTGTTCAGCACCTATTGCGAATAGACAGGGTGTGGCAGAGCGTGCGTACATGTACATGATGGTCGTAGGTCTACAACAGAGCATAATATGACCACGCGACCAACTGTGTCCTTTGCCTGGTAGAAGACTTTGCTGTTCTTGAGCAGTATCAGACATCCCTGATTGGCTTTGAATAACTATAGTGATACTGTTAAAAACGATTGTGTCATGAGTGAAAGGTCAAGGCTTGATTCCCGAGAGTGCCTTTGTTGAATGCACATGCTATAATGCAGCCTGTTTGGTCATTTCTTCTCTAATAGTGTATAGCTCGACATTGCTTTCTTGAAAGTGGGCATGTGTTGGGAAACAGATACACCGAAATGGATGTGAGTTCTAATTCCTTCACCTGACAAAGGTGACCTCTTTATCTGCTTCAATCCAGCTTCCCTTTAGTCTGATATTGACAGCGCTGCATGCCTATCTTTACCTTCCTTTTCCCAATGACTGTTGACTGTGCTGTTTGTCTCTTCTTCTTTTTTTTGCCTTCTCTTGTGCCATGACTGCCTGCAGGGAAGTGGTCTGCTCCTTGGAGATTATGACTTCCCCATCTACAGCCTCTTCCCCGGAACCAACCTCTCTACGATCCTGGACGTAAGCTGGTCATGTTGTGTTGATAACTATGCGATCTGATAGGTTGGTTGTGCATGGACTGGGAACGCAGCAGTGACCAGCTTCCGCACTCATGTAGCCGGCTGTTGCATGATATCCATCTGTTTGCATCTCACTTCTTACCTACACTCGCTGCTTCACCTCAATGATGGTACCCAGGAATTTTGCCCTAACCTCCTAATTAAACTTCTTATACCTGTATTCTGCTTTCTGAGTTCTTGATGATTGCAGCTAGCAAGCAGGTAACATTATATGTTTTATAGTGCTGGCATCTCATCCTTTTCTCTTCTTCTTTCCTGCAGTGTACGCGAAAGTACAACTCCTTTGTGAACGATGCACCACCGGACTACCCTCTGTGTGCCACCAACATGCTCGACTTCATGTACGCTGTCAAGGACACGTTCACGTGTATGACGCAAGGTATGCCTGTCTGTGTGTGTGGCTGTGTGTGTGTGTGTGGGGGGGGGGGGGGGGGGTGATGTTTCCTACTCCAGTAGTATCGCATCTGTGTTGCCTTCCTCTCCGATCACTGTGATTGTACTTAGTTCAAGTTGTGGTTGTTATCTGTTCTTGCAAAGAATTTTAGCAACTGGACATCTTCAACCCACTCACCTCTATTGTTTTCTACGCATACTGCAATGGCTTTTAGAATTATAGACAATCGCAAAGTTATGTATTTCTTTATCTGTGTTGATTGAAATCAGACCTTTGCTGTGGATTGTTTTGCTATGGTTTGGGGCAAGTTGCGAAATTCCTGTTTGTGTTGTGTTGACATGCAGGACTATACGGACCTATCTTTGGCAGCTCTACACGTTGTGACCCACTGGAGGGGTATAATGTGTGGGGAACGCTGACAGGTCGCAATGCTAGCGATACGTATAGTGAGCGCGAGATCATCCTTGTGGTGACACGGGTAAGGGGCCGATGCGATTGTTTTGTCTTAAACTGTATTATATTCTACTTTCATCATCTTAGGTAGTGCAGATTGCCATTCCTGTCCTGTCTCTTTTGTCCAAGACCCATTTAATGTTCTCCAGTTGCCCACGCTGCTGCCTGCCGGTGCCCTTAACCATGTTAGCACTACCAGGATTTGACTCTCATCCACTGGGCCTTTTCACCAAAAATGTGTACTGTAAAAGCCATTATTCTAACGAGGCGCATATATAACGATTTCCTAAAATTGACCAGTTTACGTGTATCAAAGGTGACGATTCTCACTCATTCTCAACGCTCGATAGCAACAATATGTATAGATTTCTGTCCAACGTTTTCTGTTTTAACGACAGATTTCTCCTCGTTGATTCGTTAGAATAAGCACTTCGTTATATATATGGCTTTTACAGTATGCGTGTGTGTGTGTGTGTGTGTGTGTGTGTGTGTGTGCGTGTGTGTGTGCGCGCGCGTGCGTGCGTGCGTGTGTGTATGTGCGTGTGCATACCCGCTCACTGTCCAGCTTGATGCTAAAGGACTGTTCAAGGATGTTGTCCCGGGTGCTGAGAGCAGCACTGCAGGTATGGTCGCCCTCATGGCAGCATTGCGGGCGCTTGCACCGGAAGCTGCCCGGGAAGAGGAATGGGCAAAGAAGATTGTCTATGTTATATTCAATGGTGTAAGTTCTGAGTTGCCAGTGTCCTGGCAGACGTCGTGTACACTTTTAAGAAAATCCTCTGCCACTTACTACATACAAGTAAGGCATTCGGATGTGGTGCAATTTCGAAGGTCACCGATATCTTCAAATTATCGTAACTTGGTCATTTCTTGCTCGATTCTGATAGTCGAAATATGTAAGTTGAAGGGAAAGTTCTTAGCTGTCGATAGAAACAATCACCAAAGTATACATGGACATGAATTGTGCACCACTCTAAACATTTACGCCATCTATGATGTACTGGATTGCTCTCTTTGTACATGTTTTCGCTGGCTGCTAACATGAGAACCCAACTTCATAGGGGGTGGGGCATTGACTTGCGGGAGCCTACTCAAGCAATTGAGCTCGATGCATGCGCGGAGGGTGAAGTGGTTAACTTTTACGGAGCACATCGTCTTCAACTTTGGTGAACCAGAGCACAGAATAGAAGAGAATGGCGTACCCTAAAGAGCGCGTATGCTAGGTCACGCGCAGTATGCACCAGTCATGGCGATCCGGTTGTCTGCAGCCACAAGCCAGTAGCGGTAAAAGGGGCTCTATTAGAATGGTCTTGATGTTGTGTACTCCTCTCACGATGTGTGTTTCTCTCTTTGGTCCTACTCTGCTTACTCTCCCGTAGGAATCACTTGACTACATTGGCTCTTCGAGAATGGTGTACGACATGAAGAAAACATTCCCGGCCCAAGTGCCCAGCGGCGAGAATATTGTAAGACAGAGCGTTGGCATGGCGACTGACACGCATCCACTAAAATAGAGGATAGAGCTGGTGACTCTGGCAGATGTTGTTTATGTTGCTGATAGAGCTTGCATTGCTATCCACATGTTTAGTTTTGAGCTGCTAATTGGTTGCGCTGGCTACCTGGTGCAACTCTTACTGTACAATTCGTACGGTGGGTTGGACTTGATTGACTCCCTCCTTTCCTGGATGCTCTGTGCCACAGTTTGCTCCAGCTACGTTCAACCTATCCAGTGTGAAGACCATCATTGAAGTTGGCCAGGTTGGCCTCAGCGTTGTGCCAGACAATCTCTTCCTGCACTATGACAATGGTTCCAACTCGACTGAAGCTGTGAGTTATTGGGTCTTTGGGTGTACGTTTTGGGCCTTTGGGTGTGTGTATTGGGCCTTTGGGTGTGTGTATTGGGCCTTTGGGTGTGTGTGTGTTGGGCCTTTGGGTGTACGTGTTGGCATATGCACTGGCATGATTTGTGTACAGTATCTGTTTGTATAATTCAATGATACATTTGTTGAAAAAAATTGCATTGACCATGATCGATCGTGTTTCCTGAGCTTCTGGCTGATGTTGCCAAGTCATACCTTTTCCCCCAACGCACCGTAGCCCTCCACTGTTCTGTGTCGGCAGCAATATTGGCTCCGTGCCTTGGGACGATTGTTGGGGCTTCATTCTTTGCCAGTGCAGCTTTGTCCGGTCTATTGTCTAATTGTGATGCATGCTGTGTGTGCTGTGCATTGTCTTCATGATCACAGCTGCGTGCCATCCTAACGCAGCATGGCAAGGACAACTCTATGAACTTCACCGCTGGCTCCGGTACTCTGCCGCCTGCGTCGTCCCAGATGTTCCTCCGTGAAGACAAACGCATTGAGGTAGCCTACATTGCCGACCATGGAAGCAGCTTCACCAACCGGTTAGTTCCCTTTGTCTGTGGCAGATTGCTAAGCTTGGTTCATCTCACAAGTACCGTGCCTGATTTTTGAATTGCCATAGTGATAGAAGAGAGTACACAATGGGACCAGGGCACTTGCTGTAGAAGCCATGGTACTGCTCAGTTGCCTAATGGACTGCTTCGTTTGTCCGCCCTTTCGGCGGGGTATTGTGCATGTGTGTGGGTACTCACGTTGTGCCTTTATTGATGTGTGCTACTGGTGTGGCTGCTATCAGATTCTACAACAGCTACTTGGATGATGCAGAGAACTTGAAGGTCACCGAGAATTCCACCAGCTCGGCAACTATTGTAAGTTTGATACTTGTACAACTTATTAGCACTCGCATCAGAATGTCTGGGTTGTTCATCCCCACGTATTACTGATTTTATTCAAAGCAACTACGACCAAGTGAATTGTAGCCAATTAGTAGTTTTAAATTTACGCATGTACACAGGGAATATGGCCAGAGAATTTTCCACCACGAAATTATGTGCTGTCAACCCCGTGTCATGTGTACTTTTGGAGATACTTGTAAAACCCCTGTGCTTGAGAGAGTTTGAAGGAGTCAATCTGAATTATGGGCTGCTTTGGTATTTTTCCAGTTCTTGGTATTGCATTCCGCTGTGTTGGTCAATCTTCTCAGGCAGAACCCGTCCTTTATGGTGTTTTGGACATGGTGCACTTTTACTTTACCTCCTTGTATAGGCTATTTGATATGTGTAGCTCAGCGAAATTCACTATGCTGCGTGTTTTGGCTGTACAAAGTGTACATGTAACGTTAGTTAGTGTCCAGGCAGACAATGCCATAGCAACAAGACTTGTATTTTGTGTGTACTTTTGTCATGCTCCTTTATTCCTGTTGACTTTGACTGTACTGCGGTATGCCGCCGTCATGTGTGTTTGTGTGTGTTAGACCCAATTGACAAGGCTCTCCACAGTTGTTGCTCGTACTCTGGCTCAGCTGGCTGGTGCGAACACGACTATCCAGTCCAGCATCGCTGCCAACGCAGAATATGTAAGCACCGTGATGCAGAATGCACTGTAGAAACGGGAAACAACCTCTTTAAAAAAACATTCTCTACTGGGTTGCTTTTATACGGAGTTGGGAAAGGACCTTTTGCCATTGTCTGATTGTCACTTTTCTGTAATTTAGTTGGGGTTTTGCATCTTGTTCGAGGCTCTTAGCTATCCTGGTACTGTACAAGCAGAAATATTCGTCTGGAATTTAATTTCGTCTTTTTCGTCCAAGGAGCTTTTGGACTAAATTAAATGTAGGACGAATATCGATTTGTCCAGCTTTTCTATACACTCTTATGATCCATGGACGAAATTTTCAACCAGACGAACTCCTTTTCTTTGGAGTTGGACGAAATTATTGACCGACGAAATTTTCTGCCTCTACAGTATTTGGGTTGAAGTGAGTTTAAAAAAAAACCCTCTCAATCAGCATTGAAAACTTGTATCAGGTAAAAAGGCACAAGGAAGATGTAGGTACGTGTTGCAATGTTTGCCAACTTGCAGCTAGCAACACTGCCACCCACTGTCACACACTGTCATGCACTGCGGCCAACTGTTACTTGCTAGGCTGCCTGAACGTAGTCATGGTCGACCTCTTAGCATGCAGAGTGTCACGTAAAATATGCTCTTCTCCAGGCGTGAGTTGAGTGCAGTTTTCCTAACGAGGGATGAAACAAGTTTGTACATGTACTATTTTTCCTCAAGTCAGTCACTTGTTCACTCGAGTAGTTCGTGCATTTTGTGCTGGAAAGTGTCTTTCACAAACAGAAAAATAAGCATCAACGCCAAAATCTATCCACAACAAGTGTAATATTGAAGGGAATTGATCAAATTGGTGTGTGTCTGTGTCTGTGTGCGTGTGTGTCTGCGTGTGCGTGTGCCTTGACAGATCCGGGATTTGACCGTTTGCTTCACAATGAACTTCTCTTGCCCGCTTGTCAAGCAGTCGTTTACCGCAGGCCACACACTGCGTATGTATAGCCGGACGTTCTAGTTGATAATCAGCTTTGTGTTGTCAAAATGAATGAGCTTGCTGGTAGTGGATCAAGCATAGAACGTGATCCTAGTTCTAAGATGGCACTAAGGATGACTTACTTTGCACATAGTATCTGGCTACTAGTATAATATATATATTTCGTATTTTTTTAAAAAATATTTCGATGGCGAGATTGTCTTGGTCTTTCCTTTCTTCCCTCCCTATGTATAGCCGACTACCTGGTGAACTCGCGCTACATTGGTGTGAACAATGGTCCCAACAACTACCTTGTCAATGCTGTGCAGCGTCTGATTGCGCAATCACTCGGTGCCGATAATCGCACTCTGAACACCAGCACGTCTTGCCAAGCTCCCAAAGGCGACTCGGTGAGTCAGATATTCTCTGTCCACCCTGCACTCCACTCGTTGCGCACACATCCGCACACTCATTCACACGTGCACACCACTATTGAACACGTCAACATTGCCAGTGGGGGCCACCACAGCACAAAGACCAAAGAGGCCGACCCTGCACTCGTCACCCCCTTTTATCCCACCCCATGCTCCCTCATACCCGTTCCCGGGTGGACAGAGAACACTGCTTCTCTGCTAATTCTTATACTGTGACGTCAACCGCAGAGAAGTGACATTTGTGCTCGTGCAGGAAAGGGGAGAGCGGCAGCCTTTCGTCCATGCAGTTCACCAGTTCGGTTTTGCAATGTGGTAATAGTGTTAAACTAACACACAGTTGCTTTGGACGTGGCATAATGAATCATGTTGCATTTCAAATCCCTCGTTCTGTTGGCGAATAAAGCCTGACTTTGTCTGAGCTCATCTCGTGTGCTCATTCTTGCTCCATCTCACCCGTATTATCCTGCGCATCTACTACCAGTAATGTTGAGCCATACTATATTCTGTGTCTACTTTCTCCTTGTTTTTTTTTTGTCTTATTTTCAGCTGAACTCGTACTTGCTGATGCGGGCTGGTGTGAATGGCACTGAAGAGCGGTGTGTCATCGCTCCGGTCTACACCTACTTTGTCCAGTCACCGGCCTTCCTTGATCCCGTCGACTACCGATCAACTGTTTATTCCACATGGACTGAGAGCCGGTGAGAACATACACTGGTTTGGTGTGCACTGACCGGAACATACACTGGTTTGGTGTGCACTGACCGGAACATACACTGGTTTGGTATGACCTGACTGGAACATACACTGGTTTGGTATGACCTGACTGGAACATACACTGGTTTGGTATGACCTGACTGGTACATACACTGGTTTGGTATGACCTGACTGGAACATACACTGGTTTGGTATGACCTGACTGGTACATACACTGGTTTGGTATGACCTGACTGGTACATGCATTGTGAATTGCTACTTGTATATGTACCATGTGTCTACTGTCAGACAACCAGCCTAGTACGGACATGTGAGTGAGGGTGTGTGGCTGGCTGGCTGGCTGGCTGGCTGGCTGAGTGTAACTTTGTCTTTGTGAGTCAAGTACACAAGTGAAAGTCTTTGCAACTGTTGGTCCAGACACAGGAAGCCCTCTGAAATACTTGACAAGGGTGGGATCTTCAATGCATGTCTCTCTCTGTCTCTAACCCCTCCTGGAATAAGCTTTGTGTGGACTTGCACAATCGTCATGTACCACTGATGTTGTCTCCACTGGCTTTCAGTTCTTGTTGTCCTTACTTGGAACATCTCTACAAGTTGTCACTGACTATGTACTTTACCTGTGTTAGCTATTCACTACTCCTGCCCGGCTCTGCTGCTGACTTGTGCTGTTGGCTTGTTCACTTTTCTTCTTTTTTGTCCGTGAAAGATGGAACGACATCAGCATGGAGATCTTTCTGAAGCCATCGCCAACTAGTGAGGTAAGCTACAGTCTAGTACATACACTGGTGGCGCACCGCTTGCTGTGTTGTCCAGTGCAGCCCGAGACGGGCGCAGGCGAACTCACCGCTGCGCACGCACTGTAGTGACTGAACAGTGAGCAGCTAGCAGGAGTACACGTAATGTTATCTAGAGTGTACAGCTCTGCATTTGGGATCTCCTATTCCGATGGCACTATGGCTATGAGCTTTCCAACAAGCCCAGGATTGTCGAAGCCGGTCAGATGCGACCAACGTTATGCCGGAAAATTGAACCTAAACATTCATACTTGTATGTGCGTGCACACGCACGTGTACAATTCCCGCCGGGGACATTTTTTTTCTTGCCCAATTACCTACCCGGCAGGTCCACAGGTAAAATGGAAAGTGGTTAGAGGCGATTTACACGACGGCAGGATTCATCCCGTGTGTGATGCTGCCATGGAGATTCAATCACATGTACTAGTACTCATATTTTGGCGCGAACATATCCCGCTGCCTATCCCGGTATGGTCCCTGTGCCATGAGGGGGCTGGTGGGTGGAAATCAGGGAGTCGTACTCAAACTAGGGAGGTGACACGGCACAGAAATCCGTGTCACAGGGGTTGACTCGCACCCGTGACCCCTCGTTGTTATTTTTGGAATAGTTCAGTCCAGTCCAGTCCGAAAGGTCATACTCGGAACGACTCGCCTTCTGTACTTCACCTCCAAGCGTGCAACGCAAGACCCGCAAAGTATGATTTTTCTGTGGGGAACGATTTTGCCATTGATCAAGTTTTTATTGGAGTGCTCAGGCATACTACGATTGCTGAGACGTCCCGAGCACGCTTGTTCAGGTTCTCTATTTTTGACGAGCCGGTCCTACAGCCCCCTACATTGTATCTAACGACATAGGAGCTGACAATGTAAGAGGATTTCCCTGGAAATAATGACGATGGTGGTGTGACTGCTGCAGGAAAAATGCTGGCTGTTTATGACAGTATGACTAGATGTACAATGTAGCTCTCTTGTATGGTACTTAACCCCTGCTATAAATGTGTTATTTAGGAAGACTGGTGTATTGTGCAAGTCATAAAGAAGAAATGGGGCAGATACACGACGTACAATTTTCAAAAACCAGCTTCGTGTTATGTGTAATTTGTGTCAAAATTGTAGTATTTAGACTTGACAATATCATTGGCTGTACTTCTCTAATATGGTACATAACCCCTGCTATAAATGAGTTATTTAGGCAGACTGGACCATTGTGCAAGTCATAAAGAAGAAATGGGGCAGATACACGACTTACAATTTTCAAAACCTGGCTTCGTGTTATGTGTAATTTGTGACAAAATTGTAGTATTTCAACATGACAATATCACTGGCTGTACTTCTCTTATATGGTACTTAACCCCTGCTATAAATGTGTTGTTTAGGAAGACTGGTGTATTGTGCAAGTCATAAAGAAGAAATGGGGCAGATACACGACTTACAATTTTCGAAAACCAGCTTCGTGTTATGTGCAATTTGGGTCAATTTTTAGTATTCGGATTAACCTAGGATACGACTCTGAAAAGTTCTGAACAGTTACCGCAACACTACACGCCGTTTCATAACTGCTGCTGTTGCCATCATTGCTATCAAGTAGTTCGGACATGGCAGGAGCTAAAAAAATTGCTGGTAGTCTTTCAAAGAATACTGGCGAGTGATGGGCTGTAAACGAAATGTGCTGCCTCAATAATTTCAAAAACTAGACACCCATGCGGCACGCTTGGAGGTGAAGTACAGAAGGCGAGTCGATCCGAGTATGACCTTTCGGACCGGACTGGACTGAACTATTCCAAAAATAACAACGAGGGGTCACGGGTGCGAGTCAACCCCTGTGACACGGATTTCTGTGCCGTGTCACCTCCCTAGTTTGAGTACGACTCCCTGGTGGAAATGCATACCGTGGCATTCCGTGTACTGTTTTGTACTGCAGGTACTATACGTGCATCCTGCCATGTGAATCAATTTTCCTTTTTCCCGTATCACGGCAAGCTCTCGGGATCACGTGCTTGTCTTCCCGGCGGGACGCACTCCCGTCGTGTAAATCGCCTCTTACCCAACTACCTGTGTTCAACCCTATGTCTAATTCAACGGTGCATTTTCTTTCTTTTTTATCTATGCTGTCTGCTGTCGATGTTGCAGCACACTGCTCTTGGAGTTGGTATCACTCTGGTGGTGGTGTTCATTGCCCTCACGTTACAAATCAACCGCGTCTCATCCTCTCTTTTCGACACATCTGTTGCCCACAACACCTAGGTAGAGATACAGGTATTTCTGTATGTGTACTCACCACGCATGCTATTGGTGTGCGAGCCAGGCACAGTGCGGTGTACGGCAGGCAGCTCAACCGCGTCTCGGCAGCGCCAATGCGATGATTGAGGATACTCACTTGCCTTACTACTACATGTGCAGTGAGCCACCATGGCAGTTGCCTTGCTGCTGTGGTGTGGTATGGCTGTGAGTAAGCTGTAACTTGTTGCATTGACCTCTCTTTGCCAGCACCACCGCTGCTGCTGCCAGGCCATGTCGCCATTTTATTCTCTGCAGCGTGCCTTTCCGTGGAACGAGGCACTTGACTGCCTTGAGTACGTACTTGTTGCATAGCCATTGATTGTATTCCACGTGCGTGTATTCGTTTGTGTTTGGACGTGCTCGCCCAGCACTCTATGTTCATAGGATATACAATGTGTTCAGCTGGTTTACTTCTCAAGTAGCCCGGACAAACACTTTCGTACGTCATCCACTCCTGTGGAAACTCACTGCTTATCTATTTATCGTTTGCTACTGTCGGAGTAGACGCGTATAGAGGTATTATCTTGTTCTGGCTTTCAACATGGAATTTACATTCTGTCGACATTCTGATTGTGTTCAAAGTCTCCTCAAAGCTCGACAGCTATTTACCTCCCAGTGTAATTTATGTACATACGAGTGAGCAGATGTTTGGTTTCTTCCGTTTCCACCGCCAATTGATTCTTTCATCAGATACTGTATACACACGTGAACCCATGCCTATTTGACAAGATAGGAATAATCCAGCACTGTGGAAGCCCTGCTTGAAGCACTGATTATCTTCTACCTGTTTTCGTCCTGTTCTATGTATTTTAAAACTGTTCTAAACATGCACGTGAGGGAAATACATGTACATGGATTTGTATGTGACTTCCGCACAGCCGTCTGTCTGTGCAGTAAACTGTCTTCGGGTATTGCCGCGTTACCTCGGCCCGGCAGGTGTTGTATCACCCAAGGATGGCAGGATTTTCTGCTGGTTGCCTATTGGAATTGCCCCCCCCCCCCCCTCCCCTCCCCTCATGTGCCATATGCATGATGCGTTTACAATAACATCATTCATAGATGGGTTGATGCAAGGGAGTCGTCAAAATCGTGTTAATTTTTACAACCCCTCTGTAGATCTACGGTCCACAGCCGACCATATGACGATGTGGCCGTGGGCTCCCTGACTTTTGTCCGCTCGTAGATCTACGTACCAGGGAGTAGTACAAATACCACTCCCTGGCTCGTACCATGCCACTCTTGCGAGTATGCCTGCACCGGAATTGGACCCACTTTTTTTTCAAAATATTAAATTTTTTATTGAAACAAAGAAAAATGGTGGCAGCTATGTACAGGGCAAGCAAAGGGCCAGGCCAGGGCCCAGTGCATGCAGTACAGGGGAGATGGCCCACGTAGATCTACGCCTGGTATAAAGTAAACGTAAAAGAGAAAAAAGAAAAAAGAAAAAGTAGTACAGCACACGGGGTCGCCGTGGTAAACAAAGAGAGAGAAGAAGGAAAACGTACCCACTAGCACTTTGGCTCCAGATCCGGTGCATGCATACATGCCCGCGCACGGTACGGGCGCCGGAGAGGCGGAAGTTCCCTCCTTTTTCGGAATAGGGTTCGGAATATTGATGACCTTGGTTGCCTTTTGCAAGAATTCTGCGTCCCTTCGGCGCGCAATATCGCAATGCATTGCATGGTGGAAGCAATTATTTGCATGAGCTTGCCTCCACAGTGCACTATATAGTGCACATTTCCATTCGCTTTATGATAGGGCAATGCCGTATTCGTGCACCTTTGTTTGTAGAAAGATGTATACGAGCATACGGGAGTCCGGAGTTCATCAGCGGGTGTTAACTCTTGCGCATTGCACTTGCATGTGTAGACTGTACGTGACTTGACCGACTGAACCTGGCCTGTCGCTTTTGTGCTGCACAATAAAAATGGTGATGTTCGAAACAGGCTGATGCGTGGCAGATTTTCTGTGGGAAGAGTTGCCTCGCCCCATGCATTGGCCAGCATAGTTGAAGAAGGCTGGTGCTCAACTTTCCTTGCTGTTCTACGAGGAATGCAGTAGATCACCTAAGCTTTACTCTCAGCTGATACATTTTCCAACTTGCTATCAAGATGGAACTGGTCACAGGGCCATGCACGGCGACGATCCTCGGGACCTGCAACAAACGATCGTCCCTCAGCATGTCTTTGGATGCCGAAGGTACCAGCGAGGAGGTTTCCAAGCCAAAACTAATGCTGCAGGCCGCCACGCCTGATGCCTCGCTGGCTTCCTCTGGTTTGCCATCATCCGTGTCGTCGGTGGGGTCTCAGAGGAGGAGCGAGTCCTTAATGCACTTGCAGGAGGGCGGATCGACTGGATCGTCGGACAGTGAAATGAACTCATCAGAAGAGTCTGAAGGTCAAGATGTATTCAGCAGTGCTCCAAGTGGTTCACCGCGTGTCAGATCTTCCGAAGACGGTGCATCGGACCCGGAATTGGGCGAGCTTGTCAGTGGCGAACAGAGAACAGCTCGCATTCTGACAGCCGTAGAATTTTATTTCAGTGATGAACATGTGGCCAAGGATGCCTTCATGTACAGACACATCATGCGTGGGAAAGGAGGCTTCGTGAACATGAAGCTGGTTGCCTCATTCCGCAAAGTAAAGAACATCACAAAGGATTGGATGATTGTACGAGATGCAGTCCGCTCATCCACTATACTGCAACTGAACGAGGAAGGTACCAAGGTGAAGCGTCTTGTAGCGTTCTCCCCGACAATCAATCCGCTCGCCAAATGTGTTATGGTCTACAACCTAGGTTCAAAACCTTCAATGGGCGTTGTCGAGCAGCACTTAGAGCAGTATGGCCGCATCTGCAAGATTTCTATTTATTTTCCCGGTCAAGCCGTACCCAATGAGGTACGCACCCAGCGCTCCCGTTTAGAAATCGCCGCTACTGAGCCGCTTGCCGTCGTTGAGTTCTCCACAGCTGAAGAGGCCAGGAGGATTATTTTGCAGATTCAGCAGGCTGCGCCAAGCTCCACGCCATCCATCAAGGTAGCGTTGCTCAACTTGAAAGGCGGTAGCATCGGCAGCCATCGGATGGATTCATGCAGTGGTAGTGAGAACGAGCCGCCAATGGCTCCGATTGCCAGCACACGGCGCGATCAGGCAAACGATGAAGAGCACCTCCTGGGCCATGCCACCAGTGGTGATGGCGTTCCCGACAAGTCGTCCCAGGGCTCCCCGGGCAGGCGGCGCAAGAAGAAAACCCGCTTGCAGCACCTGGCGCGAGATGACAACAGCGGCACGTCAGACACTGGCAGCGAATGCGGCAGCAGCAGCAGCAATTCTAAAATCCACCATTCACGCAGCAATGAGGGAGCGAACAGTCCATCGTGGAGATCCAATAGTTGCAGTCCCTTCTCTTCTCCCAAGCCAAAATCTGTACCACACCTGGAGTCCCAGAGCTCCTCTTCTTCTGCTGGTAAACCAACAAACGCAGCAGCCATTCGTAGGCTCTGGTCGCATAACAACACATCATCCTCATCAACTGCATCGCAGAAGTCCCTCTCCTGTGATGGCATCCTTCGACAGCCGCATGGTCCATCCGAGAATGGGTTCACGATGCAGCAGCGTCGCCTCTAACAGCACATCACCAGCGTCTGAGAGATGACAAGCCATGGGTACGATCGCCCAGAGCGCCTCCAACAACGGTGGGTCATTCTGGTCGCCTTGGTTGTGTTTTGTTCTTGTCTCCCGTCTAAAGTACACGCTCCTTTCTCACCTAACAGTAACACTACCCAAAGTGCGATGATAACATCCACAGTATGGCCATGCTTCTAGCTGTATGGCCACGCCTGATAACATATAGATATTACCTGGAGATTGAGTATTCCCCAGTGCATCATCATCTACTTACTTACCTACATAGTATTTCCTAGACAATTTGCCTAGTTACCCCGACCTTACCAGCCTATTTACAGACACTATACTTGGATAATTTTCATTGGCACGTCCAGCTGCCATCCTCTTTCCACTTTGTCTCAGCGCTGCTCCCTCTGGAGATGGTGCTCAGGCGGTACCAGTTTCTCTCACACCCGCACGCACCGTGCGTTTTTGTATTCTTGAAAATTACTCCCTGAACCTAGCCCCTTGTTCACTCACTACCCAGAACTTACTCGTACCCCACTATTCTACTTTGTCAGGCATTTCGTTCTTTGTTTAGGAGCTGTCTTCAAAAGTTTTAACCCCTTCTTGTGCTGAAGAGTAGCATTGCATTGTCTCCTCACCAAGCTTTTTCTTCCCGCTTTTTCTTCTCTCTCTCTCTCTCATGCTTTCACATCTCTTATTCTCTCTCTTGCACTCTCCTCCGGTTGGTTTTGTTCCGATAACCTCTGGACATGTGGTGCAATGTCTTGAGCTGGCCTCTGCTGCTAAGCATGCCTACATGTGGTGTTGGTCTACTCTCCAAGCTCGTAGTTCTAGGTCAGAGTGGCCATTGTTACGGTCACAGTTTCAATTCATGCTAGGTTTTGAATTTCCTTCTCTCCCTAACCCGCTTCTTATTTTCTTACTGTATGTATTACTTTCCCGTGCACGCCACTTTCAATATTATCCTTGCACTCCTGCTTTCGGCACAATAATAACGAACTTCCTTCTCATTCTGGTGGGGTCAAGTGACTACCATGTGGCCATGCAGAGAGGGAAAATGTTACGTAAAGGGAACTGTGTGAAGAGCTATATAGTAGGACTTTAGAGAGCTTGAGCTTGTCTGTTGTGGAAAGAAGACTCAGTGTGATGTCACTCCGCACCCAATTTCCTACTCAGTGATTTCTCTGATGCAGCTCCTAAATTGTGGGCCCGGGGATAGATTAGATCCACCAACCCGTTAACCAGAGGTTACAGGCATGGATCAGAGTTGCAAACTCTGCAGAGCTATGCTGGAAGATCAGCAGAATGATATGAAAGGGAATGGATTGTAGCATTGTGTCATCAACACATCTATTTACTACACCGTTTGAAGACCGGGACTCGGTATCATTTCGCCACCGGCAAAGTGATCCAGGGAGTACATTGTAAGTCCTGTGCTAACATTCGCTGCAGTCGCCCATACAGCACACAACAACCAAAGCTACATGGTAATTATTGCCCGAGTATCTTCTTTGAAAACATCCAGTGTTTGCCTATTGTACTGCCGGCTTTTTGCAGCTGGAATTGTTATAAAATAACCAAGACCATGATAGATGCAGGGCTATACGTAAATGAATATCAGCAGCTTGATTCATGGTTTCTTTAAAAATCTCACTTCTGAGGAGGACTTGATCATAGGACGGATTCTGCATCTTGCATGAGTTTAATAATAGGTCTGCGGCTGATGTTTCAAGACCAGTGTTAGGTAGAGATAGAGGCCTGGATGCTAGAAAAATAAATCCGTTTGGAGGTCTACATGGGGAGGAATATATACTACTTGAGATTGGGATCAAAGCGAGGCTTGAACGAATCCATTAGATCTCGTTTGTGAAAGCGTTCTGCGCTTTTCAAGTCCCGGACCATCCTTCGCTCCATCTGTACACCCTTCATGCGAAGTAGCTGATGGAAGACACAATGCGCACACACACGCACGTGCGCCGCACACATGCACACATTTTTTTTAAATAATCATACCGGAATAGATCAGAGTACATGTACTTGTTCATACGGGTAACATGCATTTACCACCGAAATCTGCAGTTCCAGAGCAGCAGTCAGTAAAACTAATTTAATATTGATGTGCAGACTGTGTGGTGAGCATTCACGAGTAGAGAGAGAGCCCCAACGACCCACCAAACAATACTCGAGAAAAATGACTGCCACTTGGTTCAATCAGGGTTGTAGCACGTGGTGTTTAATAAGCATTCGATCGGAGAAAATCAGAGTACTCGAACTCGGGATATCAGTGCCAACGTTCACCCCTAAGACACACCGGCAACGGGTGTAAGGGTACGTAAAATTTATTTTTCATTGCTATCAGGTTCGGCCTCATTGTCTCTGCGCTGCGCTGACGAGTCCACAAAGAACGAAGCAGTTCTGTCCGCAGATTGAGTGTCAACACACACACGGCGATACACTCACTGTGATCATGCACAGTTGGTGTGGGAGAATCTAGCTTGTCATTCAAATTTTCAGCATCATTGCACGCATGCACAGCAGAACACATCATGATCAGATGTACACGGTACTACCAGTAGCGGATCCAGGAGGGGTTCCGGGGAACCCCCTAAATTTCGTGTATGTATTACTGGCAGCCATACTGCGTGTCCATGTACATGTATCAGCTGTTCAGTTTTGACTATACTGGAACCCTCATGTAGAGATCGCTGGATCGGCCGCTGACTACACACCCTATCAGCATTCCGATCCGCCACAGCACTGCTGCCGGGGAGTGGCATCAGCCATATACTCAAGAGGCCGGCTATCTAGTGTGATGCAAAGCCTCTGTCAGCTTGTTCTGAACTATCAATAGCGTTTTTTTTGGAGCACACATCTACGGCAACTTGTTCACATTCAAGTTCATGATGTACATGTATCACCGGCCAAGTGTGCAGTTAAACTGTGACTAAAACTAGGATGCACGATCAAGCTGTGGATTATTAGAACCAGCTCCAGAACCAGCTCCAGGCCCATCATTAGTTAGCACTTATAAAATTAATAGTGGCACTATCTCCTCTTAGCCTATCTCCTCTTAGCCTGTTTGCACCAACATGCTCAAGTTTGAGCTCACTTGGCTGCTATGGCAACTAGAAAAATGCACTGATTCCTATGGTGAAGGTCCCAGGTTGACCGGAGCAGCCATTCCTGAGTTATACCAGCTTGAAGCTTGCACTCACTTTGGTGACATCATGACGCCATTAAGTTCTGGGGTGAAGCGAAGGTCTCAATTTGCCAAACGAACCTTCTTCATGAAAACAAACGAAGGTGTCTAATGATTCTTTTACCAGTTCACAGTTCCTCTTGAAGCATCGTGACTTTGTGCATGTTCCCTACAAAGTACATGACTGTGCACATATTTGCTGTGCAGTCACCACAATTGGCACGCCCATAGCTTTTGTAGTGTGCGCAGTTTGCACCCCAAACTGCCAAAGACTACTTCTGCACACCTTGGCCACGAATGGCCACGCTCAAGCGCAGTTCGTGGCCTACTATGGACATGCAGTGGCACCTACCGGGAGCCAAGTGGACATAAAACTAGTCGACTGTACAAACTACAGTACAGTACCTCCTGTGTACAAGGAAGATCAGTGCATGTATGTGCAGAAATTGTGTGTTGACCTTCTTTTGAATTGAAAATGAAGGTTTGTTTCAAATGAAAACGAAGTGAAAATTCAGTATTTTGGCTCTCCATTGTCCCAAAGAAGTCGGATGTTTTCAAACTTCAGTATCGGACAGGTGGCACCCTACAGGTATCCCGACTGGAAAACATTCTAGTATGAAAATAATGAAATTCATTGTTGCAGAGAAACCAGAAAGAATTTGGTCACCATCAGCACAGTCACTGCGACCAGCCTCTGTAGCTGTAAGCAGCTCATCAGCTCCGAGCCAGCGCAGTGACCTGGCTGACTCTCAGTGTAGTGAGCGTTTCCCTTGCTGCAGAAGCAAGAGAGCTGTCGAAAAGCTAGAAAAGAAAGATGACCAGCTTGAATGGTCTTGGGAAACCCTCCGCAACACGCGCAAAGCATTGCGACGTCAAAGTAACAAGACTGGTGAGGCGGAAGAGCAAGCAGATACTGGTGTGCAGGAGACAAAGGAGTATTATCAAAAACTTCTGAACAGCCACCATCAACGGGAGCACCAGCTTAAAACGAAGCTGGAGACCATGCAAGGTGCTGTGGATGGGCTGCAGGAGGATCAGGAGGATGTAGCGTCATTGCGGAGTCGTTTGCTTTCTGCAGAAGCTGACAATGCTGCCCTGCGGTCGCATGCTGATGCTTTCCAAGCAGAGCCATGCAGTGGTGAATACCTACATTGTCGGACGGCAAATACTTGCCAGAGGTACTCCAGTGCTGCTGGGAGGTAGTAGCATGCAATGTTGGTATCTTAAATGGATGGAAGGTCATAGGCAGTGTGCTGGTTCTAGTGGGCAAGAAAGCTGATCGTCTGCCATTGCATGGGTTGCTCTCACAAATGTATGTGGTGCAGAAAGGCCTGGCCAGCCTTCAGCTTGCCGATGAACTAGCCGCAGGCTGAAGAGGAAGGCATGACTCTGCATAGCGACGGCACAAGCAAGCACGGCAACAAGTACGAAGCCTACCAGATCCGGGCCATCAGCACACAGCGTGCGTACAGCTTGGGTATGGTGGACATACAGCGTGGAACTGCCAGTCACACTTTAGAAATGCTGAAAGCTGTCTTGGATGATGTTTCCAAGATGTCAGCTGCAGAAGCAGAAGGCAAGGCTGGTGCTGGCGACCACATTATCGTGAATATCAAGAATAGGATGAGTGACCGGGGTATTGTGCAGAAGACATTCAATGGTCTGGTGGAAGACTACAGGAAAGAAGTGTTGCCCTGTGTACACAGTGACTGGGCTGATCTTTCTGAGGCGCAGCAAAAGGAACTTTCTAGCATGAACCTTTTCTTCTGTGGTCTCCACTACATTGTTGGTCTGGCGGACCAAGAAGACTCCGTTTTGAAGGAATGGGAGGGCACACACTTTGGTGAGACAAAGGTGGGAGCTGCACAGCTACCAGGTGTCTGGGAGGCCTCCCACAGCTCCACCAACCATCTCATATATAGTGCCACAAAAGCCTTCGAGGGGCATGGAGACGAGGCTGCCGGATGCATTGCCGATTTCCGAGCACTTTTGCGTGATGCAGGCATCAAAGCTCCACTCTGCGAGCACCGTGGCAATCAGAACTATGTCCTGTTTTTTAACGGAGCTGGCGTTGCAATTCTGCAGGAACTGATGCAACGTTTTCTGTCCGATGTCCACGGGGACACGAATCGCCTGCTCAAGGCAGTCACGCCGATCTGTCCGTCCCGGAGCTGGTAGCAGCCTGCCGTGCCCTTGACTTGATTTGCAAGCTTGTGATCTCTCCTCTGTGGGTAGCTGGAGGACAAGGACAAGAAAATATGGGATATGAGCGTTATTTACACAGAGCTGGTGGCCAAGATGGAGGAATGGGGCAGAGATGCGACATCTGCACGGTCCTGGAAGGCGCTGTACTGCCCTTTTCCGGCGCAGCAATTAATTGAACAGACGACGTGCTGAACAAGCTGCTGGAGCCAGCTGACAGCGATCAGGTCACGTGCGAGCTTCTTCAAGTTATCTTCGCTAGTTTCGCAATTTACTCTTCGCGACTCCTCAGTGGCCACCTTCTGGGTGGTTGCTTTCATGACGCTTCCAGTGAGCTACTTGCGCAAACAGCATCTGTCCGAAAGACTAACGCCAATTCGGAAAGTGACTTTGGTAAGCTCGACAGATACCTCCGAGAAAAGCCAAACTTTGACACAGTTGCTCTTGAAGGCCTACTGATGTACACTAACAATGTTCACTAACAATCGTACGGCACAGTGGTTGCCGGATAAATCCTCCGATGAGAGAGATGCCTTAAAAAAAAAAGCTGCAGCCAGACCAGCAGCACCTAAGTTCCGTGAGGATTTCAAGGCTCGCCAGCAGGCGATTCAGGACTACCGCATGGAGCAGTTAAAAAGGAGAAAGAGGCAGGTATTGCACGCAAGCGAGAACAACAGCAGAAGAAGAAAGAGACGTTGGCAGCAGAGATCACGGGTGTAGGTGGACTCTGGATATCGAAGGAGGTAGCGCAGGAGCAGCTTTCCAAACTGCTTCGAGTCGCGGACAAGCGCCTTGCCCTTTTAAATCGCAGCTGCACTTTCGCAAGTTTGTTTTGTTGCAGAAGGCTTCAGCTTCCAAGTTTGCACTTTCGTCAGGTGGAAGGCAGCCACCAGTAGAGGAACTGCTTGCCAACTTGGTATCCCTATTCGAAGTGACATGAGTAACTTTTTTATATTCCACTTGAAGCAGACCAAGAGTATATAACCCCCAAGAGCAAGCAACTCCCACATACCCTGCTGTCCCGAGTTGACAAAATTTCAAGTTCACGTCATTTCTCCAGTGGTCTTCTGGGACAGGCGGTGGCCTTATCCGAGGTGGTCTTCTGGGACAGGCGGTGGCCTTATCCGAGGGGTCGCCTTGGCAGGTTTTACTGCATGCTCACAATGCACATTGCATCATAAAAATGGCGTCACCTTGAAATTCCGTAGCAACCATACTTATACTGGAGTTGCACACTCCTGAGGTGTGGGGGGGGGGGGGAGGGGGGGAGGGGGCCCGGGGGGGGGGGGGGGGGTAATGGTATGACCTACATGTAAGTACACAGTCACTGAGCTCACCTCTTTGAGGTCGCGCAGTGCATCCAGCACACCCTGACGGTCTTGCATTGCCGGCTCAGTCAGCTGCTGCTGTTGGCACTGCATGCGTCGTACATGTAGAACACAGAAACCGTGATGCACGGTGGGCGTTATCGTGTGCTCATGGGAAAACACACAACCCAGAAACCCAGAGCTAGGGGAAGTTGCCTACTGTGTAACCCAGAGGAATACAATTGTTAACCAGAGTGCTCATGCAGAAGCACAAATAGACGTGTAATGATCAGATAATTGGCACGCACGCATACACACGCACGCACACACATGCACACACACCTTCACCTTTGACGCCCATCGCCGGGGGCGATGATAGCAATGCTACGGCAGAAGCCATAGCAACTTGTGCTGGGATTGCACCATTCAACAGCTTGCAAGGCTGAAGAATTGACCGTCACTATTCAGCCTGGTCTACACCATACAGCTATTTTGAAGTGACTTTTTCTGGCCAGTGAATTCCTATTTTTGGTCTTTTCATTTTTCTTTTTTTTCCCGCACACACATCACACCACATACTCCGGCATGCACTGGCTGTTGGTAACCACCCAGGAGAATGAAAGAAAAGTCAGGAAGAGTCTGAGAAAGAGAAGAAAGACGTGTGTGACCATAATCGTCGGGAATCGAACCCGCAGCCTATCGATCGGAAATCGCTGCACATACCACTGCACCATATGGGACACACACACACACACACACACACACACACACACACACACACACACACACACACACACACACACACACACACACACACACACACACACACACACACACACACACACACACACACACACACACACACACACACACACACACACACACACACACACACACACACACACACACACACACACACACACACACACACACACACACACACACACACACACACACACACACACACACACACACACACACACACACACACACACACACACACGCTGACTACTATTCCCATTGAACACTACAGGGGTGAATCGCACTTTTTATCAGCCTCATACCGGTAATAGTGGAGGTATCACTTCGACATGATGATCCGCTTGCTGCTGCTGTGGCTGCTGTGGCTGCTGGAGCGTTCCTAGATGTTGGTTCTGCAGTTCTTCTGCTAGCTGTTGCTGCTGTTGTTGCCTCTGTCGAAGCATTTGCTGTTTCTCCCGTGCAAGCTGCCGTTGTTCCTGTTCTTGTGTTTCTTGCTGTCGTTGTTCCTGCCGATGGGCTTCCTTTCTTGCAATGGCTGCCCGATAGGATTCTTGATCGACCAATGGCACGTCAAGGTACTGCACGCTTGCTGGCAGCTCAACGCTGGGTATTCTGGCCCTTCCCGGTGACCGGCGGCGCTCAGCAGGCCCCCCGACTTCAAAGCGATTGGACTGGACATCGGGGTAGCTTCTTGCTACGTTTAATGTCCACGCTCCAGCGGCGTCCGGTATGCCATTGTGCTTTCGATCTATTCTATCCAGTACCGGATTGTAAGGAATTCTCAGACCGAGTGGATCCGCTGGATAGTTGATCAGCACGGGGATGCGCGACCTGCTGTGTTCCAGCTGCGGCGGCCTGCGGAGTTCGGGTAAGATTCGCGCTCGTGGCTCTTGGTCACGGTCGCTGCCACCGGTTAGGGTAGTTGTAGCATGCCTGGATGTTGCTGCTGCAGCTGCTGCCACACCATCGGCATTGTGTTCTATTGAACCTGCATGGCGGCGGTTCCTGTCAACGGGTGTGCGGGGTATCTTCTGATATTCGGCATTGATGCCAGTTTGCACCTGTGCAGGGAAAGGAGAGGAAGTGTTATCACGGAATTAGTCAAACTGGGCCACGACATCTTCTCTGTGATAACACTATAGTCGCTCAGTGTGACAGCCTTGGCATGGTCTATCAACCGCGGAGGTTGCTAGAAACTTGCACCTGTCCAGACTTTCGTTCTGCTCCATGCAAGAGGCATAGTCAGGGAAGATGTTAGCCCTGGGTCATTAGTTTCTGTCATATTGTGACCCCAGAAATATCTGCCAGTATGGCAAAGGTCAAAATTAATCTTTGCATTCGGCTCACACTGGAAGACTGGCAGTGCAGCTTCGAAATCCAGAGCCGCAGTATGCGTTCCTCACATGCCATGTGTACTATGCCATGCACAGTCAGCTGTGCGCAGAAGCAGGGGATGGAGGGAAGGAGTGATGTGGCTTCCCTGAGTAGGTGCATCGGGCACATCATCGGGTCACTATGATATGCGCGTTGCACCAAGATTTACTCCTGGTACGGAGATTGGGGTTAGAACGAGCTAAACTGACCTTGAGTGACTCGATTTCTGCCAGTGTTCTCTGCTTGGAGGAAAGGACTGGAGTTGGTTTCTACACACGGAGCACAGGACGACAGGCAAACACACCAATACCGAGTAAAGTCCGATTCAAACAAAACTGAGCATGGCCACTTCAAAGTGAAGATACAAGTACAATTTGCATTGATTCAAACAAAAATAGTCGAACTAAGCTAACGTATGCAATGGGATATTTTTTAAAGGGGTCTGTTGAATCTGTTCATCAGTACCCGATTGGCAGTGGTAGCTCTATCAGGTACTGCTCCAGGCAAAGTCTACAGCCAACATTGCCAATACTATGCCATGCACTGCTGGTAGAGGCGCGCGGCTTACATTCTTGTTCTCCCTCCTGTCAAACTCTCGCTGCATCTCCTCGACCTCGCGCTGCACTCGTTCGTCCTCCTCGCGATCCAGCCGCTCCCGGCGCTCCTGCTCCTCTCGTTTCTTCCGGGCTCTCTCCTCGGCTTGCTGGCGCAGTTCAATCTGCCAAAGGATAAGAGAAGTCGTCTGTGCTCGCCAGTGCACGGTCAACAGTGGAATAGCATGCACCAAACATTCCCCGCACATGCATACCAGCAATACTCACTATCGAGTAGGATTAATCCCAACACACAGTGTCCATAATAATACCCCCCCCCCCCTCCCCAATCCCCATCCTTCTCTTTCTTCTACGAGTTCCCATCATCACTCAAAATAGCATCCGACCTATTCAGCAAAGAAGGTACAATGGAATCGAGACGGGGCTCTATACAGGGGACATATTTCCACAGAAACCGGGTGACGCTTCACTCCAAAACTGCGCCGACAGTGACACCTGGCATAATGGTCACGTCCTCTGTGTCACGGACGGTGTCTGAGAATAGCTAGTTACTCACTCGATAAGGTTCCTGGTCTTTGCGCAGCGCCTGTGGTTGACCTCTTCGGCCTGTCGCAGTGATAGCTGATGAATCTGGTTGTAATGGAGGTAATCTGTGAGAGTCCAAAGAATGGCACATGTCTACACTCAACATCCACTTCTGTTTCAAACACACTGACGTATACCATGTTGGAACAATGCCAGCAGCTCCTCACTCACGCATGACAGCAAGGTGCTGCACATTCAAGTGCCTGGCTATCACACTTACATAAGCGACTCTCTTGCACCCTCATTGTTTCTCCTAGGCGACAAGGGCCGCCGCACGCCGCCGATATCAGAGTGTCTACTTCTCGTGCTCTCCGCCACCCCTGCTGTTCCTGCCTGCATGATGAGATGATGGGGACGACACAGCACAAGCATGCATGCATTCAGTGGGTACACATAACATGCTATTAATATCTCACTTAACCAAGGCAGTTAATCAGTACAGTCATATTCGACGATTATTACTGGTACCTCACTTAACGCACATGCTAGTGCACCCGGCACTGCACGTACACACACAAACTGTATGCGCACATGGACACGTGCACACACACACGCACACTATTGGTGCGTATTTTTGGCCGTGATGGCGAGACCTCAGGTCTCGGCAGAGCCATCAATGCCCCACCACTGCTGCGTCTCGGCGCAGCGCCTGCTCACTAGTTGTCACATTTGTCCTAGTCTCTGTACCATTGTCTTTCATTATTCTTTTTGAGCTGGGTACTAGTATGTGAACATAGTAAAAAATAAAAATAAAAGCTATATTTGAAGCACAGTTCTGTACGAATCACTGAATACATACGTCCGTGTTCAATGAATCCGGTAATGTTCTACGTCGATAGGACACTCCACCGCCGGCAGCAGAATCTCTAGCTGGTGCTGCCCCGCATCCAGGTCGTCCATAGGGCCAGTAAACAGAGTCTTTGGGTTCCTATCAATACATCAATCAGTGTAAGGTAGAAAAACATTTCAGTGATAGTGCTTTAAAATTCTCATAACTCAAAAGTCTTCACCTCGCGGACAACTGCAGACCCCGGGAACCTCGCTCACACAGGGACTACATCTAAAAGGCCTCACAAACAGGCCCTGCGTGCCACGCATGAGTGCTAGCGCGTACGAGTACTGCACGCCATTTCTGGCCCTAGTTGTCCACAACGGCTCGGGAATGAAAACAAGATAGCTAGTGGCACACTGGCACCAAGAGGGTGACAGGAAGTAAGCACAGCGGATTGCACCAAGTGCTGATAGCGCCAGTTTTAATGCAAATGTCTTTACTTGGTTGCACCACACATACTTGATGCAATTAGATGTACTGTATATACATGCATGGTGGGGTGTAGTTTTAGTCAGCACCTGATTATTCAGGTGTGACTAGACATATCAACAGGTTCTAGCCAAGGGGCAGCGCCCCCTGTTCTATAATCCGCCTTTCAAGATGAAAGTAGGCAGGCCTGACCAGAGGACGCCAACCCAATGGAAGAGTGTTATGCCTGACGGCGAGAACAAGACATAACTGGTCGCATTCTTCTCAAGGCACTTGCTGTCGTCGTGTTTCATTCCGAAGACCAGCTGAATCATCGCCATCAGGTCTATGTTACGGTTGGTATGAAGTGCATGAGACTGTCAAAGACGGCCAGCCTGAGCACAAGGCTCCAAGTCGACAATGTACCAGGGGTGAAAGCAGCATAGCTTATCCATTCCTTTTTTTGTCACAAGTGTTTTTAATTTTCTTTTTTTCCTCTTTTTCTGTGGTTGATCTCACCCTCTCCTTAAAGTAAAAAAGAGGGCGCTTTCACTGTCTCGACATGCTACGAGGTGCAGACTCATATAATGATATGAAGTGCAACCAGGATGGAGCTTACACTTGCGACATGCTCCTCCACTGTGACTGTGACCATGTATTCCAGTCACAGGATACCAATCAGCCGGTGCCACATAACGGTAAACCAGATACTCAGATGTGGTTGTTCTCCTCCGCGGCAAGCGAGTCATGCCAGTTCTATGAGTGCAACCTGGATTTTCAAGACAGGAGTCGAGCACCCGGGGTGCCACGGCGAACTGACAGACCATGATCAACAGCATTGCCGAGAAGCGAGGTCAGCAAGTCTGTAAGGTATTGATTGGCACACACGTGTCTTCACTGGCTGCTACAGTGCCACTTCCTTCTACGGTGGAAGCCAAGAAGGTGCCCATTGAAATGGTGGAAAAAATGCATCTATGGCATTTGCAATGGCAGATCCTGGGTACAGCTACAATTTCAGTCCCCAATAGAAAATGAAGTGCACAGAATTTGTCTGTCGACTGTATAACAGTGACGCGAAGGGCATCAAAATGTTGCCCGCTACGTGCATTATTTTACATGTCCAAAGCTGCGGACAATCCTCAAAAGATGCTTCAGACCCGGGACTCCCTGGCACAGAGAGAAAGTCACAAAGGCAGTGGCGACAACTGTACTGACTGCAAAGTTATAAAAACCAGCCGTCGATGCCGAGCGGGAGGATTCCTCGTCTTCGGATTCCACGACAGTCAAACTCCGAATAAGGAGCGGTGCATTGAGGCGTGTGACCAGTTCCGTTCACTTTGCACTGCAGTGAAACCGAGCTTGGACATCCCAGTGCGACTGACGGGCATCCTCCACAACTATAATTATTATAATTATAAGACTGACTTTATTCAAAGCCATCACAGCAAATCCAGAGAAAGAATCCTGTGTCTGCGTGTTGGTCCTCTTTCCAAGATTATCTTTTGAATCTCTATCCCCTCTCCTGTATATATAATTATACTGCTTTGATGGTTAAAGTCTGAGCCGTATCTTCCGGGGTGTTAGACGCACCCCCCTTTTTGGGCCAAACATTCGTATATTTGTTGAAATTTGAAGTACAAGCCCCTGGTCAGATTTGGAATTTTTGGCAACCCAACTCATGGGTATCGCTACATATAGGACGTTACCCGGCAATGGTTAAAACATTAAAGTTAAGAAACGTGATAAAAGTCCCGGGAAAAGTTTCCTACTTAAAAAAAGTAGTTTGTTCTTCACTCTGAACTTGGAACATGTAGAAGGTTCTTGCTAGTGCAATGATGGATTGAACTACATGAAAAGCAGTCAAATGACATCCATACATGCGTCACAAGCAGGGAGCGCTGTAGCACTGGTCGGCATCCAGCACTCGGAGTCTAAGCCACAGGCACAGAGGCAATCGTTAAGTTTTTTTATGCGTTTTAAAGTGCGGCTAACACACCAAGCACTGTATCTCGGGGGGGGGGGGGGGGGGGGTGTTAGGCACACTTTGAAACGCCTGGAAAAACTCAAAATCGCCCCTGTGGCTTAGCCTACGAATGATGGACATGGATCAACTAGTGATATGGCGTGCCATGCATCAAATGCATGTACGGTGTCATTCGACTACTTTTTAATGTACTTTTCATGCACAGAAATCCATCAGTTGTACAATGCTTCTATGTTTTCAGTTCACACTTCAGAGTGAGGGACAAACAAAGAACTTTTGCTGGAACTCCAGTCGTGCTTCTAAACTTTCTTAACCATTGGTCAACGTCTTGTATGGACTAGTACCTATCAAGTTTGAATGGCCAAAAATTAAAAATCGGACGTGTGGCTCATACTCCGAAAGTCATAAATAGATACGAATCATTTGGGCCCCGGAAAGAGGATGCGGCTAAGACCCCGGTGCGACTAACACACCGGAAAAACACGGTAGTCGAATACGTGCATTATATGCATGGAGCACTGTAGCACTGGTCGACTCACATCTAACATTCGGAGTCCAAGCCGCAGGGGCGATTTGTGTGAGTTTTCATGCGTTAAACTGCAGCTAACATTTTCGAAAATACTAATATCGTAACAATACTTTGTCTCATGATTTCACATGATTGTACATATGCAAGTACAGAGCCAGTGCTCCCATCTCCTGCGCTTATAATATATATAATTATGTTACACTCACTATGGCATCATTTCTCTATTTGTCGTCACTGTCTCTATACATGTATGTCATCACCTGTTTACTTCGTGCCTATTATGGCTTCACTGATGACATATAGAGGAGTGTGAGAGAGCTGGTGGACTACTGAGTGCTACATAATACATATGCACCGCTTCAAGTTTCCTGCACTGTTGCCGGATGATTGGTTGTCAAACCATGAAACCCCAAGTCACAACAAATTTTATATTGCTCTCCTTTGTGCACATCCTATGCCGCATGTCAAGTGCATACCTCTTGTGCAGCAGCAGGGTTGATCAATTCTGCCAGTCCTGGTCCGACACCATGGAGAACGGTGTGCCGATCTCCAACCGGAGATTGAGTCCTTCTTTCCACAAGGCCAGGATTTCTCATAGCTGCATACCGTCAACGGGCAACATACAGACAGCACAGGCATACACGGGTGTTAGCATAGCACTGCAGACACTGACCAGCTGCACATGCATACAGCCAGGCTGCCAGGCTATTCAGCTGTGACTGAGAACTGGATGACATTTCAGCTGCACGCATGCACTGCTTTCATGGATGTGCAGAGAATGCTACACGTGTCAATTATTGATTTACAACCCATGCGCATAAATGGGGCCGGGGGCGGGGGATCCAGACACATGCTCCAATTGGCGTACAAATCAATGCCCAAACCAGGCTGACCAAATGCCCAGCCTGGGGCCTGTTTAGAGCTAACCTCGAGTCCCCACAATGCAATCATGTACATGTACCTGCAACCCTGGTGCAAGTGAAACACCCACATAGTAGATTGAAGACAAGGACAACACCGATTAACGATGTACATATATACACAAATGCATACATATGTGTACATTTGTCTTAAGCAGGACCATTCCACCGACGACGTAAGTTAGTTGCAGTAAACTGTAAATGCATGTTACAATACCTTCTGCAGGTTCCGGCCGTGATGGGATGTCCTTCTTCTGGTCAGCCGGTAGTTCCTCCGATTGCCTGGTTGTTAAACTCACCATCTTGGAGTATGGGTAGCCGGCTGATGTGCCCTCACTCCCAGCTGGTGGTGTGACCTCAACCATCCTGGAGTATGGAGACTCGTAGACCGCGGTGTACTCTTGCACCTGTGGCTGCTGCCTCGCATCGCCCTGCGGATGCGACTTAGCGACTGGCGGTGGCTGCTGCCCTGGTGCTCTCTGACGACCGGGCTGTCCAGTGGTGGCGTTTGTTTTCGCTTTGACATTGCTGGGGCCGTGCGCCGCTTTCCTGCGCTTGGTGGTGCTCCGCTGCAGAGCTTCTTCTTCTATCAGTCGGTCCGTCCTGGACTTGATGGCGAGGCTGACTGGCTTGCGCTTGATGGGCGTTGCCTTGGGTGCTGGCCGCTTCATTGGTCTGTCTCGGTGCATGCTGTTTAACAATTATAACAATATGTCAAATGTATAGTGACTATGTGTAGTGACTACTTCAGTTGGCAAAGACTATTATCGTGACTGGTGACTATCGTGCATAGCCAGTGCCAGAGACTCACACAATCAACGGCCATGTGTCTGCTACTGACCGACACACAACCGCACGCTGTGTCGATACGACTACGCCCAGCCGTACTACTACCGGTAGTACATCAGCATAGAAGAAACAATCAAAATTTTCACTTCACACCAGATTTCCAGCATTGTTGACAAAAAAAAGGTACAAATAAAGAAATTGCTTGAAGAACAGTAACAGTTAGGCAAGAGTATTGTACTTTAGACTTGAGGTCAGGATTGATAGAAGTCTGACTCCCACGATGGGTACGTGCACGATTTGCGAGTGTCGAATTGCTGATACCGCCACACCGGGCCTGGTTCAGCGTAAACGGTAAAGTGCACACTTACTAGCATTTGCCGAGCACGGAGTTGACCGCTGACTGGCCACGTTAGTCTTTACCGCAGAGTTGCTTGGGACCGGGAGAAGAATGGCGGTCGTCAATGGGCGTCAGCGGAGGCACAGCAATATGGACAGTATGCAGCAGCTGATCGGCTATGTACCCCAATACAATAGTCAGCCTCAGGTAAATACTTGTTATCAGTGCGTGACCTTCGCCTTCGATAAATACTCACTGCAGGGACGCTTGGCATCTCCGACAGTGCCGCCTAGGGAACAAGGTCCTCTGGTTTTCTTGCTCTCGTTTAGGGTGTGTAGCGAAGTGAGTCGGATGGTGGAAGAGCGACCGGCTTGGCTGTTCTACTGCATTCAGGTAAGACGATGACAGACAATGCGGCTTTTGCCTTGATCCGTTGGCGACAAACACGCAGTTGTTATTTTTATCCATCCAGGAACGAAGACTGTACTGATTCGGCTTGCAGCAGCCAAAGAACTCAAGAAGTAAAAGTCAGTACTTGTACTAGTTTGTTCATTGATTGAAAAACATGACATGCACACAGCATCTAGCACGTCGTATGAACACTGCATGCTTGGGCTAGCGCTAGCACTAGCACTAAAAAGAGTGAGTACCAAAAGCACATTCTTGTCAGTGCTGAAGTCTTGACTCCTTACACATGTTTTTTCTGTGACCCACGCGAGTCTTTGAAATGCGCGATCCTGTGTCTTGGTTACGCGATAGCTGTTGCCAAGTAACTGATCTCAAACCTGATCCGGGTGCTGACGCTGGGTACGGGTCAGTGCAGTGTACAGTCCATTTCAAAACTATAGACGCGTACCTAGGCAAAAACCGTTATGCCAGCATCTATACCACATAAAATCTGTGATCACTTTGTGCATAATTTTTTCCAAATTGGGCGTCTGTTGTCCAATCCTTTAGAAACTATATGAGAGTAATTGTGGAGCGATCCTGAGCAATATTCCGAAAACTATTCTCAAAAAGTTCCAGCCAAATTTGAAATATTTCAAAAACCCTACGCGTCTATAGTTTTGAAATGCACTGTAGATCTACGTCGTGTGTGCTACCCTGAGCTTGACTTTATTTATTTATTTATTTATTTATTTATTCAACATCTCCTGGCCCGTCCGAAGACTGCCAATAAACATGAGAGGTCAGGTGATAGCCAACCACGGCAAGCTAAAAGGGAAAAAAAGAAAGATGCTGTCAGAGAGGGAAAGGAGATAGGGAGAGAAAAAGAAAGGGAGGCACATTAATAATACATGGGATCACTTCGGATGAGACAGTGTGGAAAGCTGGACTGTGAATTTCCTGATATCCTGGCATGTCTTAATGCTAGTAGGCAGGTTAGACCAAAGGGAGTATGCTGAGAAGAAAGGGGATTTCAAAAACAGAGAGGAACTAGCTCGGGGCAGTGATAAGGCATTGCGTGTTGGTCTAGTGGTAACAAACCAGTTGTACTTGGCAATATGTTTCGGGACTTGGGCTAGGAAGATTTTTTGCACAAGGATACAAAGATGCTGCTGATGTCGGGCAAGAAGAGGGTGCGTGGAAGCAAGTTTATAAAGACAAAGGGAGGCAAATGTTTGGTCTTTTCGAAACAGAATTTTCAGAAGCAAGCGTTGATGTACCTCCAGTCTGTGGAGTAAAGTCTGAGACAACCCGCACCAAGCTATATCGCAATAGTCAAATATAGGCAAAATGTACGACTTAAAGAACAATTTTCTGCAGTTATCATTCAAGTGTTGGCAGTGGGGTTGTAGCATACCTAAGGACGCACTCGCACGCTTGCACACAGACTGGACTTGTGGAGACCAGGAGAGTTGGCGGTCGAGAATAACGCCCAGGTGCTTGTGCTCGTTAACAACTTTAATAGGTGTACTATTTAGACCAGGAAAATACAGAAGTTGAGTGGGGGGCGAGGGAGAGAAGAACATGGCCTCGGTTTTGGCGAGGTTAGGCTTCAGTTTCCAGGTTTCCATCCATGTTACTGTAGCGTTGACCCCGGACTGCATGGAGGCCGTGAGGTTGTCTGCCGAGCTGTCGGAGCACATCAGAGCAGTGTCGTCAGCAAAAAGACTTACATTTGGTACAAGGGCTGGCAAGTCATTAACGTACAGTAGAAATAGGAGCGGCCCAAGTATGGACCCCTGGGGTACCCCAGACACGACTAGTAATGGGTCTGATAGGGAGGTAGATACTCTGACAGTCTGGTGGCGGCAGGAAAGATAGGATGAGAGCCATTGCAGGGCTGGACCGTGTACCAAGAAGACGGACTCTAGCTTTGCAAGCAGACCACGATGCCAGACGGTGTCGAAAGCTTTCGCTAGGTCAAAGAACACGATGCCAACATGCCGCCTGAGGTTCCGCTGGGTGTAGATGTCTTGTACTAGACGTGTTAGTTGGAAAGTTGTGGAGTCTCCACGGCAGAAACCGGATTGAGATGGTGAAAGCGCTGGGGTGACGTGGCAGTACAGAGACTCAAAGAAAATACGTTCACAGACCTTGGACACAGCGGGAAGGAGAGAGATTGGTCTGTAGTTGCCAGCCTGAGAGCGTTGGCCTTTCTTGTAGATCGGGACGATAACAGCAGATTTCCAGACGGACGGAAATACTCCTGTACGATATGACATGTTAAAGAGCAGGCACAAGGGATAGGACAGAGATGGCGCAAGCCATTTGAGAACCTCATTGGGTATGCCATCTTCGCCAGGGGACTTACAATTCTTCAGGAGTTTGAGGTGCTTACAGACGGTAGCAGTCGTGGTAACGACGCGTGTGAGTGGTGCGCTAAGTTCAGGGGCTGGGGACAGCGATGGAATGACCCAATTCGGATCTTCCGGAATGCCGGATGAAACAAACTGCTTGTTCAGTGTGTCTGCAATCGCCTTCACATCGTGCTGGCGGTTGCCATGGGAGTCCGTCAGGTACTGGATTGGCGCGCGGGAGGTCCCGCGGCACTGGTTGCGAATGAATTGGTGGAGTGATGGGCGATCGGGGGAGGAGAGTGTTGCAGAAAGAGAGTTTAGAAAGGAGCGGTGTGAGGTACGAGAAAGGTGCTTGACGAAGTTGCGTTGAACTCGGTAAGCCTCCCGGTTAACCGGCGTTGGGAATTTCTTGTAGATGCTGAAAAGATCACGCTTGCGCTTCACTTCAGATACGAGGGACCGTGTCACCCATGGGGGACTAGATGTCGAGGATGTTGGGTTGGAATGTTTCCGGTTGTTGTAGCCGATAGCAAAGTTAGAGAGGTGCTGTTGGAACCCTCGTTCAAGGACGGCTGCAAAGTGATCTACCGCGGCGTCAACAGTTGGAGAGCCTTCTGGTTGCAGAAACGACCAGTCGTGGCAGGAGAAATCAGCGTTCATAGAGTCCCAGCACTGAGAGGGAACTCGACGGAAGCGATATGGGAACGGTTTGCGAGAAGGAAGTGGCAGGTCTGGATCCGAGGGCAATGAGACGGCGAACTGGCATGAAACCATGAGATGGTCCGAGGAGCCAAGAGCACAAGCTGTGTGAACGTCCGTCGCCAGCAGGGGTTGGTTCGTGAAGACAAGGTCTAGACATGACTGTGTTCCGGAAGATGTTGTGTGCGTTGGACTCTGCACCAGCTGATCCAAACCGAAGCAGGTAAGGGTGCGAAAAAGTGCCGCCCCAGCAGGACACGTTAAATCCGATGGGCACCACCGTTTGTGCTTACTGTTGAAGTCCCCAGCCATTATGACATGGTACGATGACATGGGAACGGTTACCAAAGCACTAGCTAGCATATCACAGAAGTGGTCTATTTCCGTGGTTTTGACTGAGGGCGGACGGTAGGTACAGCAGACGAGGATGGGTGTCGGGGAGCCTAAGATTGGGTGAAGCTCAACCCATACGGATTCACAGGTCGGGCGAGCAAGGTCGTCGCGAACTTGGACTCTTCCGAAGCGATTTTGCCGGACAAGAATTGCAACTCCACCATATCCTCTGGTTGCCGTACCGGATTTGTTATCATGAGGTGGTCGGTCGCGACGAAATGTGGTATAACCGGAGATGGTGAGCGCTATGCTTGGATTTAGCCATGTTTCATTTAGACAGATGACATCAGGTTTGTTGAAATCAGCAATGACAGACAGTTCGGCAGATTTGTTAACGATTGAGCGGCAATTTACGGAAAGCAAGGTCAGTTTACCCTGGCAAGGGGGGAAGTAGGGCCGAGCCAGTGGATTCAGCTGTGGTCGCGCCATCATGCTGAGCCTGAGGAGAGGACGTTGTTTGCCTGGTTGGCATTGCTGGTGTCAAAACTGTCCGCGGCAAAACGCCAGGGCCTAACCGTGTGCGAAAGAGCATCCGGCCAGAACCCTTTGTCACCGACTGTGTTCTCATCAGCTGCCTCGACGGTCACCCGTGCGTAGGCAGTTCTGAAGTGCTTGGATGCAAATATGACACCTTCCTGAATCTGCACTCCTCGGGCAGAGCACCATTCAGCAATAATGATGATGCGGAGCAGTGTGGCTGCACGTTGCCAACGTAAAACACTTTGCGTTTGGCCCGGGGTGATGCCGTGAGGTCTACTGCCGGCTCACTATCACGAGCCGGCTTGGTGTAGCGGGATGTTTCCACCCGCCTTGTTATGCGTTGAGCTAGCTGGGACTGACTACTAGTATCTGCCGCGTGCCTTTGTCTCTGGGCGGCTCGAGTGCGTCTGCCCTGGTGTTCCTGCCATTCATGTACAGTAGGTATCGGTTATAGCGTGGGTGTTTGAAAAACAACATTTGATTCTTATTGCCGATATTTCTTACACACGATAAATCACGTGTGACATATCATATGCACGTGTGACATACAGGTATCATAATTATAATTATGCGCGCACGTTTGGCATGTGGACACGTACAATCATGTAGGTCTACACATGATACACACGGATCAGACTCGCGGTCGTGCTAGGCGACTGCGGAGCAGCAGATACGAGAGAAGTCGGAAGAAAGAGTCCGACTGGACAGAAAAAGTGATTCTCCAAAGCTCAGTTGGACATAACTCTCTTTTTGTGTTGAATATTATTGTATTGAGTATGCACAGAGCACAGATGTTATTACTACAGGCGATACACTTTGCACTAATCTGGCATATTTTGCTACACAAAATCCATTCTTAGGGCCGATATATTCTACTATGCGATAATACTGCTTGTAAGAATAAATATACACATAAATTATGTGTTATGATTATGAAAAAATGAGTGGTAATTCTTGTAGGCAGTATATTCTTGTATACGACCACACTATAACCGATACGCACTGTACTTGTTGTTCAGTATCGGTGGACCTACGGGATGCATCCAGGCCTGCTGCGGGGCTGGAGCTACGACTTGGAGTAGTGCTGGACCTACGGGATGCATGCACGCCTGCTGCGGGGCTGGAACTACGACTTGTAGTAGTGTTGGGTTGTGGCACACGCGTTTCTCCTGGCAGGCTGCCACTGCCGGCGTGTGTACCGTACGTTTGTACAGACCTGCCCGTTGTGGTGCTG